CGTCCACAGCACCACAGGAGCGCATGGCCGCTCTGGAGCGCCTGCAACGCGTGCAGCACCAGGTACAGCAGCTGCTGCTGGACGAATCGCAGACCATTCAGCAGCAGCAGCAGATCCAGAACTTGCTCCACCGCGTCCAGCAACACCAGCAACACCAGCAACACCAGCAAAGAGGCGACCGGTCCTTTGGCGTGGATGATCAGACGGGTTTCCTATCACAACCCCAACACCAACCACGCCATCGTCACGGCCTTGCGGCACCGTTTGGGCTGGACACGTTGCAAGAGCAGGAGCAGCAACAGCTGACACCCTCAGGCTCGCCACCACTGCCGTCGCTGTCCACCGCTGGTTTTGGCATGATGGCGCCATCGTCGTCGTCCTCTTCGGCATCAGCACGCGCGCACCAACCGCTCACCTCGTCGGTTGCGAGCTCCATGACAACAACTGCCACGCCAACACCGGCTGCCATGCCGCCATCGCCCTCATCGTCGTCCTCGACTGCAATGGCACCACTGCCTGTGCCGACCACCGCCGCCGTGACGGGCAAAGCCGCCAACCGCCGCTCCCGATCTGCATCCGCCGCGCGCAGACGCAACAGACAACGCTCAACCTCGCTCTCCATCCACGCCATGCGCGCGGCTGCACAGCAGGAGCAGCAGCAGCAGCAGCAGCAGTCGTCATCCTCGTCGTCCTCGGCGGCGGCGCTGGGCGGTCTGTCCATGGCGGAGATTAACAGGCGCCGCGGCAGCTCAATGGGGTCTATCACCCACCCGCTCGCCCCCAACAAGGAGATTATGGAGCTCGCTGCACGCCTCAACTTTGACAGCCGCGCCTCTTCAGTCTCCAGGTGCCACGTTGTGTTTCGTTCTTGTTAATGCTGTGTGGTGTATGTACGAGTGTGTTGTGTGTTGTGTGTGTTTGTGTGTGTGTGTGTGTGTTACACTGTACGCGCGTGTGCGTGCATATGTTTGTGATTGTGTGTATGTGATTTCGTGATTGTTTGTATGAGTGCACGAATGCGTGCTATCACGTCGTTGTGTGAGTGCTGTTGTTCTCACGGAATCGCCCCTGTATTCCCCTTTTGTCCCGCCTTGGAACCAGTCTGAACGAAGCCGCCGAGACACCACAGCCCAACTTCAACTACGAATGTGCACAGGACTACCCCTGCCACCCTTCCCGTTGCTCCAAAAAGGTCAGCAGGACGGGTGTGTGTCTTTGTTTGTTTGTGCTTGTCAGCAGGACGGGTGTGTGTCTTTGTTTGTTTGTGCTTAGGGGTCTGTGTTGATGGTGCTTGTGCTGAGCTTATGTGCGTCTCTACAATCAAACTGATGCCATTGCTAATCAAAAGTCCCCCCCCCAAACACACACACATACGCACACGCACACATACACACACATACACACACACACACACACACACACACACACACACACACACACACACGCAGTCCCACCCGTGCCCACACCCTGATTGCGGTAAAGTCTTCCCCAGTCACAGCAAGGTGCGCTCACAGTCGAACCGACTATCAACATGAATTCAATTCACCACAGCTGTATCCATCCATGTGCTCCTTCCTTTTCGACATGTCCCCTTTTTCCTCCTCATTCGTCTTCTCCTTTGCTCGCCATCACCTCCTGCCCCCTTTTGTCTCACAACCTAACACAACCTAACACAATATACTGCTCGCTTCGCCCCTTCCTTGCTCCTCGTGCTTGTGCTTGTGCTTGTGCTTGTGCTTGTGCTTGTGCTTGCTTGCTCGCGCTCGCGTGTGTTGTGGGGACAGCTTGTGCGCCACATCCGCGTGCACACTGGCGAGAAGCCGTTTCTGTGCCCCGTGTGCAACACGCGGTTTACGCAGCGGTGCAGCCTCAAGACGCACCTGCGGCGCCACTCCCAGCAGGATCTCGCCGCTGCCAAGGAGCGCATGGATGCGGCCACATCCTCCTCTGCCTCTGTCGCGTCCCCTGCGGACCCCACCACAGCCGGGTTTGGCCTCGGCCACGCACAACACCGACACATGGCGCACCAGGACCCCTTTGCTCGCCACCAGGAGCAACAAGAGCACCAGCGGCTGCAACGGCAGCAACAGCAACAACAGCAACAGCAACAGCAACAACAGCAACAGCAACAACAGCAGCAGCAGCAACAACACCAGCAGCAGCATCAAGGTGCTGGTAACGGCCCGCTGTCGGCAATACCGGCCCACCTCACCACGATGCACCGGTGGGGCATGTCCCCCTCCAGCTCCAGCGTGAACATGAGCGGACCGCCCACGCCGCAGTTTGACATTGACGATGCCATTGCGGAGGAGCCCTATGCTGAGGCCGCGTCGCCGCTCGATGACGCCCTCACACGCACGCTCACACATGATCTGCGCATCAGCATGCAGCAGCAGCAGCCGCCGCCGCCGCATCTCGGCGAGCACGACAGCATGCGCCCGTCGGCCCAGGGCCACCAGCACCTGTTCAATGGCAGCGGCAACGAAATGTTGCATGGCGGTGATATGGCTGGCGGCGCGCTGCAGCACCAGCAGCCGCCACCACAGTTCCAACAGCAGCGGCAACAGCAGCAGCAACAACAGCAGCAACAACAGCAGCAGTTTGGGGAGGATGAGTTTGGTGATTTCCAATTCAAGGAGGAGGAAGTGGAAGCTGATGAGGAATTCAACAGCTTCCTGCGCGAGCTGCACAGTGGCAACATCAGCTATGACCAGCTGGATGAAATGGCAAACAACCCAGTCGTTACTTCCTCCTCTTCGTCAACAGACCCCACCACCACCACATCCAGCTCTGCGCACCCGCAATGAACCCCCTTCTCTCATCGCCGCCAAACGAACCTTCAAAACGCCGCGTAATATACACCCCGGGTGTGATTCATTTTATTCTCTCATCCCTCTGCTCGTGCTGGGTGCGTTTTCTCGTTAATTTGACGCCCACCACAGCAGTATTCCTTCCATCATCAGCTCATCGACAACATCGACAACATCATTTTCGCGTGGTGTGTGCTTTTGCTGTATGTTGCGCTCACGCATCCAACTCTCTGCTCTTCCCCTCCTCCTCTATGTTTGTGGTGTGTGTTGCCAAACACTCGTGCACTCGTATGTTTTGTTTTTCGAGAACCGTGGTGGCCATCGATGTGGTGCTTTCATGTTTCCACGCGATTTAACGGACCTTTTCTCTCATTCTATCGTTGTGCTCCTCTCTTTATCACGGGAGCTCAACACATGCACACGTGCACTCACACCCGCATGCATCGCCCCTTGGTGGCGGAAGGTGTGGCCTTGTCACCGCGTTATTCTCTGAATGGTTCCGTTGACGGACCAAATGCGCAACTACTGCCTCCTCTTCTTGACGCTGCTTTCTTGAATGAAAAACGACCACACTTTCTGCGCGCGCGCGCGCGCGCGCGTGTGTGTGTGTGTGTGTGTGTGTGTGTGTGTGTGTGTGTGTGTGTGTGCCCTCCCTCCTTATTTCGTCATTTATCCTTTGCCGTTTTGTTCCTTTGGTGTTGATGGTGCCATGATTTCGTTCGTCATCGCGCGCCTCATGGATGGTGATGATGATGTGACGCGACGCAAATATTTTCTTCTCTCTCTCATTTTGTCCTTTTTGGTGGTGTAGAGACTGTAAGCGCCCCTTTCGGTTTGTTTGCACATTTGTGTTTCTTGAGTTGCCTGCGCATCGCTGTGTGTGTGTGTGTGTCCATCTTATGCTGCCTCCTGCTTTCATTCGTGCGCTCGCGTGCCGCCTTGCAGCATGTAGTTGCTTGGTTGTCATGCGCTAATGTGTCGAGTATTTATCGCTCGCTCGCTTCTTCAGAGACGCAGCAATGAAACAACAACAAAGCAATGGGAAAGAACAGTGACATCATCATGCGTGGGATGTAGTTTGGGAAAGCACCAACACGCAAACAAGCAAGAGCAGTGTATAGTTGCAAGAAGGGCACACACAGACAGATACACGAAACAAAACAAACACGAATCACACGAAGAAACACACACACACACACACACAAACAAGCACACACAAACAAGCACACACACACACACACACACACACACACACACACACACACACACACACACACACAGAAACGCAGAAGTTAGTCGGAGAGCAAGAGGGCAACGCCAGCCAGCGTCCACTTGTTCGGGTGGGCCTTGGTGCGAAGGTCAAACGACCAGACAAAGCCCGGGCAGACGCCCACAGCGACCTGCTCGTTGGCACGGCCACGCTCCTTGGTCTTGAACGTCGGGCACTCGTAAATGTTGCGCGTGTCGCGCTTCTCCACGGGAATGGCCTTCAAGTAGAGGATGGGCATGGTGGGCGTGAGCTCCTTCAGCCGGGCATCCTGGATGATGCCGCTGCCCGTGTCCCAGCGCGCACCCTCCATAAACAGACCGCAGATGTACGAGCCCTCGCGCGGCGGCGTGGTAAAGTCCTCCTTGTTGTACTTCTTCGTCACGTCGCAGTTCATGCACATCTTGTCCAGCGGCCACTCATTCTTGCGCGCCGTCTGCTGCAGAATGGCGGTGAGGAACGACTGCGGGTTGAACAGCCCGCCCAGCCACACCACAGCGGGCAGCGCAAAGTCCGTCGACCACGCCTCCAGGAACTTGATGCGCTCCAGCAGATCCGCATACCACGGGCCAAGCGGCTTCGTGCTCGGGTACGCCATGCTCTCCCAGTTGGCCGGCACCTTGTTCAGCTCGAGCGCGTGGCTCAGCTCCTCCATGGCCTCCGTGATGGTCAGCTCGCCCTTGAGGCCAAGGTCAAGCTCCTTCAGCTGCCGCCGAAGCTCGTTGGTCAGCTTGTTCATGCGCGCCGTCTCCTGGAACGCCACGTTGGAATACGGCGTGCGCTCCTCCGCGGGCAGCCGCTGGTTGAACTCGAGCATGTTGAACTCCTCCGGCAGCTTCTCCAGAATGTCGTCCAGGATGGCCTTGATCTTCTCCTCGCGCGTCTGCCCGGCACCCTCGCCGCCACTCGCCGCTGTCTCCCGCGGCTGCAGCTCAAGCACCGTCGAGAACAGCCGCTGCGACGTCACCGTCAAAAACTCAATCTCCGCGTTGGGGTGCATCCAGTACAGGTAGGGCGACTCCGGCGGCAGGTTCTCGTCAATGTACTCGTGATACTCGTTGTACTCCATGCTGTTCGGGCACAGGAACCCGGGCGCAAGCTCCAGATCCGTGTCCAGCATCTCCGGCCGCATAAACTCCATCAGGTACGTGTTGCACAGGCGCCGGTCAAGGTTGTCCGTGATGTGCCCGCCGTACATAATCTCGCCAAAGAGGTAGCGCAGGTCGGTCCACGGCACGGTGTTGTTGCTCTCCAGGTAGTTGAGCAGCACGTTGCAGGAGATGGTCAGGTCGCCCGTGTTGAAGGGGTAGTTGCGGTTCCAGCCCATGGGCCCGAACTTGCGCCGCTCAAGCACCACCGCGTGGAAGTACACGAGCGAGAACAGCAGCTTGCGGAACTCGTTCTCCTTGGCACACATCTCCAGCGTGTCCTGGTTGAAGTTGTCCAGCGCGGCGTGCAGGTTGGCCTGAATGCCCGTGGGCGGCTCGTTTGTGATCTTGATGCACGCCTCCAGGATGCCCTGGGGAATGATGTGCGAGGCCGCCGTGGACGCGGGCTCCGCAGTCAAAAAGTAGCGGAAGTCGTCGTGCGCCTCCAGCGAGCACTGCTCAAGCTTCTTCTCCAGGCTCGGCAGCCACTTCTTCACCAGATGGATGTTCTCCAGCACAACCCAGTGGCCCTTCTCCGCCGCCACCGTCAGCGCGTTCTCCGCAACAACCTCCTGGCCCTGGCCAAGCGACACCTGGTGGTAGTTGTTGTTGTCAAAGGCAAACCCGAGCTTGTTGCCAAGCTGCTCCACCTGCAGAATCGGGTTCACGCCCGGGGAGAGGATGAAGAAGACGCCCGTGGCGCGCGACGTCTCCTCAAACGTCCTTGAAAACTCCATGACGCGGCCCGCCGTGTACTTCTCGCCGAGCACCTCCGCCACAAACAGCGACATGGCGTACAGCATGCGGTCCGGGCGGAAGCAGCGCATCATGCACAGCCGCTGCATGAGCGTCTTGTTCTTCCACTCGCCAGGGAACTTCTCCTTCTCCGGCACCTCGCTCTCGCAGAACTTCTTCCAGCGCTTGGCCGAGCCCTCCACGTCCCGGTCGAGGTTGGCAAACGCCTCCAGCGCCGAGAGCGCCTTGAGGTTGCCCCACGAGGCGTGGCTCATAAAGTCAACGGGGCTCACCACGTTGGGCACGGACGGCGCCTTGAGCAGAAACTCGAGCTCCGCGGGCACAATCTCGCCGCGCTTGGCGAGAATCTGCAGGGCCATCTGCGAGGAGAAGATGAGCTTGTCGCGCTCAAACAGGCCGCGCGAGACATAGTTGAACACGGAGAAGGTGATGGTCTCCGTGATGTTGTCCACGCGCGCCTTCACCTCCTCCGCGGGCTCCGAGATGGAGATGGCGTGCGCAAACACCACCTTGAACGCCTTAAGCGAGATCTGGTACATGGGGTGGATCTTGTCCAGCTCGTTGATGATGAAGTAGAGCAGGGCGGCGCGCGCGGCGGCGGGGCGGTACAGCTCGCGGTTGCGGTTGATCTCCTCCTCCGTCACCTTGGCCTCCTTCACCTTCTCCGCAATCTCCTCGGCCGTCTTCTTCGTATCCTCCAGGCCGACAACGAGCGCCTCGTCCTGCAGGAAGTCACCCTCCGCAGAAGACAGGCGCGCCAGCAGCGCGTCCTCGAGCTCCTTGAGCGTAATGGCGTACTGGTTCTGCTCCTGCGTCAGCTTGGCCTTGGTCTCCTGCAGGTCCGGGCGCTCCGCAGTGACGACGTCCGCCAGCAGCTGGTCCTCCAGCCCGCTCTGCGTCACGGTGAAGTTGATGAGCGTGCACTGCGCCTGCAGCTCGGGCTTGTAGTGCGGGTTGGCCATCTTCGTGTGCAGGATGAGGCGGAACGTGGGGCTGTACTCCACCTCCTTGTCGCCAATCATCACGGCGCGGCCCTTCTTGATGAGCTGCCGCCCAAGCAGGTTGTCCAGCACGGGCTCCACGTCCTCGCCCAGGTTCTCAATGAGCAGGCAGTCGCCGTTGCCCACGGCGCGCTCAATCGTGTCCAGGTAGCCCTTCTGGCCCAGGCGCACCACACGCAGGTCCTCGCCCTCGCGCTTCTTGATCCACTTGATGCCCTGCTCCTGCGGGTCAATGATGAGCGGCCAGCGCTTGGCATTGAGCAGGATGGTGGCGTTCTCCGTGGACACGCGGTCGGCAGGCAGGTCCTCGTTCTGCCACGAGGCAACCTGCGCGTTGTCCGTGAGGATGGCCAGCGGGTCCAGGCCCTCCGTGCAGGGAATGGGCGACTTGAGCCCAGACTTGAGGAAGGGCACCCAGCGCTCGTTGTACAGCATGTCGCGGTACTTCTTGGTGAAGCAGCCCGTGTAGGAGATGAACGCCGTCACCATGAGCACGTCACCGGGCAGCGTGATGCCCTGCTGCTTGAAGTTCTGCACGGCCTCGCCCCAGCGCTCCTTCTCAGAGGCAAGCCCGCCCACGAGGCGGTTGGCCAGCGAGATGGTGCGGTTGGTGGCGTCGGCCTCCGCCTGGCACTTGAGCTTGGCGTCCGTGGCCTCCTGGAACTCCATCTGCAGGCGGTGCAGCGCCTCGTCGAGCTTCTTGATCTTGTCCATGATCTTGTTCAGCTTGGTCTGCGCCGCCTCCAGCTGCGCGTTGGCCGCAGCCAGCGCCTGCCGCTTGGGCTCCACGTCGCAGAAAATCTCGTAGAAGGTGACAATGTTGCGCGCCCACGCACACAGGCCGGCGGCGGCGAGCGACTTGCCGCGCACAAAGTCCGGGTCAAACTCCGGGTCCTTGAGGTACGGGTACACGGCCTTGAGGTTGGGCTCCGGGATGTTCTCCTTGTCGTAGTTGAGCAGCTTGTCGAGGAACTCGGTGACGTTGCCCATCATGGCCTTGGCGGCCTTCCACGAGCGGTCCTTGGGCACCTTGCCCGGCGCCAGCAGGCACATGACCGCCGCAGAGACGGTGACGACAATGGCTGGCGGCGCGCCGAAGGACTTAAGCTCCGTCAGGTTGTTCTTGTTAAGCGTGTTGAGGGCTTCCTGCGCCGCAACGAGCGCGGGCTCGGCCTTGGCCAGGTCCTCCTCGCACGACTTCTGCTTGGCAGAGACGTCCTCGTTGATGACGCGCACCTTCTCCTGCTCCACAGCAGCCACCTCCTTCTCCTTGTTGACCTTCTCCGTCTCCACGCCAACCTTCTCAATGAGGGCGTCGGCCTCCCTGTTCTTCTGGTCGAGCTCAATCTCCTGCGCCTTGAGCTTCTCCTTGAGGTCGTCCACCTGCGCAGCCGTGCTCTTGAGCTTCGTCAGGCCGTTCTCCATGCGGTCCATGGCGTTCTGCAGCTCCGTGTGCTTCTGCTCTAGCAGGTGCTGGTACAGCGCAATCTGCTCCAGGAACGACTTGGGCGTGGTGTAGTTGTGGCGGCGCTCGTTGGCGAGGAACGTCTGGCTCATCTCGTTGACGGAGCCGTGCACGTACGCCATAAACTGGGAGATGGGGTCCTTGAGGTCCTCGGGCACCTGCTCCACGTCGCCCAGGAAGCTGCGCGACACGGAAACAAGCGCGTCCTCCGGCCACTCGTGGAACCAGTCAATGGACGTGCAGTTGACAATGGCCGGGAACTTGCGCGCGCGCTTGCGCAGCGTGTCGCCGACAGGGGAGAAGCACAGCACAACCTTGAGCAGGCGGCGCACGCGGTCAATGAAGAAGGCCCAGCAGTTCTCCGTCGTGTCCTGCATGCCGGCAGACTTGACCTCGCCGCGCACGCCATCGACAATCTCCGCCTTCTCGTCGTCCGCAAACAGGCCCGGGATCTCGCCAGAGGCAAGCAGGTCGTTGATGAGGACGAGGAAGCCCTCGTCGCCAACCTGGCTGTCGGTCATGAGGAACATGACGCCCTGGCCCTTCTGCCCGGCCTTGATGTAGCAGCTCGCCAGGTCCGCCTTGAGCTCATTGATGCCGTAGCCCTTGGACAGCGTGATCTGGAAGGCGTCAAGGCCGCTGATGGACGCGGCCAGGCGCGAGAGCGACTGCTTACCGGAGCCGCCGACGCCGACCAGGAGGGCGTTCCCGCGCGGGCTCTCCAGGATGCGGTTGATGCGGCAGACGTGCTGCATGGCGTCGCGGAAGAGCACCAGGTTCATGGCCGAGTTGACGTCGTTGTAGTTGGACAGCGCCTCGTTCAGGATGGTGTTGAGCGACTGCATGCTGCTGACCTGCTTGTACTTGGGCTCGCCAATGCCGCCGGCAAAGTGCGTGTGGATGCGCGGCTCCGCCAGCAGCTGCTCCGCCTCCAGGTCGGGGAACGACTCGGTCATAATCTGCTCGCTGAACTTCTTGAAGAGGACCAGGTCCTCCTCCGTGACGAGCTTGTCCGAGTACACGCGCTCGCACTCGTGCAGGAGCAGGCGGGCGACCTGCAGCGGCGTCTTGAACGTGTCCCCCGTGGAGAAGGCGATGCCCTGGAACACGTTGGTGAGGTCACGCAGGTTGAAGACGTAGTGGAACTTGATGGCTGTTGGCAGGAAGGTGCTGGACGCCTTTGTGTGGATCTTGATGGCGGCGGTGATGGTCGGCTCCACCGCCTTGCTCAGCACGCTCTTGCTGAAGCCCGCGTTCTTGAGGTGGCCCGTGAGCAGCTGCGTGTAGATGGTGGTGAGGGCGGCGTCGCCGGGCGGGCTGATGGCAAACACGGTAAAGTGGCGCTGCAGGCGCGGGTTGATGGTGAAGCTGCCGGCCTTGGGGTTCATGCTGGCCATGTACTGCGTGTTGGACACAATCTTGAGCGTGTGCTTCTGGCGGTCGTACCAGTGGTCGTAGTCGAGGTGCTGGCGCATGACCGTGTGCGGCGACGCCGTGCCGTACAGGTCCACCTCGGGCATGTTCAGGTCGTCCACAAAGTACACGAGACGCTTTGTGCCCGGGGGGCCAAAGTTCTTGCCGGCCTTCTTCTCCAGGGGCTCCTCCAGCACGCCCTGGATGGTGTGGTGCGTCGTGTAGTGGTTGAACGACGTGATGGAGTAGATCCACTCGTCGCTGTTGAGCGAGCGCAGCTTGTCGAGGATGGTGGCCGTCTTGCCGGTACCTGGCGAGCCCACCAGCAGCACGGGCTGGCCCGCGTCCACGAGCAGGTCCATCCAGTAGCGCACGCGCACCGTCTCCGTGGTAGGCACGAGCGCAGAGGACATGGGCACCTCCGGGTCGTACTCCATTGGCTGCACGAGCTCGGACCAGGGGCAGAACTTCTTGTCCTTGTTGATGTAGTAGTCAAAGACCGTGCCGCTGCTGGGGAACTTGACCGTCTTGAACTCGGTGACCCACCACTTGCTAAACTCCTCGCGCCAGTCGACCAGCTGGTCCTTGAAGAGCTGGCCGCCAAAGGCCCACACGGCCGCCCAGGCGAAGAAGAGTTCGTAGTCCTCCTTGGGGCAGCCCTCGGGCGTGTGCTCCGGGGTGAGCAGCAGCTCGAGCAGGTGGCACAACGTGTTGACCATGGACCACTCGGTCATCGGGGTGATGGTCTTGAAGCGCGTGCGCAGCGCGTCGAGGCACGGCGGCACGTACTTCTCAAAGAGGATCATGAGGTTGGTGCGCTGCCCGGGGCTCTCCAGCGTCTCAATCCACGACGCAACAAACGGGTTCCAGCCGAGATCGGTTGGGTTGACGAAGAGGATGCCCGCGCGCGACACGGTGGCGGGGCTGGCGTAGGTGAGGTTGGCAATCTCAAACAGGAGGCGCATGGACGGCTGCAGGGCAATGCGCTCGTTGGAGGCGAGCGTGAGCACCTTGTTGTCGTCCATGACCGTGTTGAGGGACTCGATCCACATGGTGTCAATGTCACCGTCCAGCACCATCCACTTGGGGCTGTCGCCGGGGGAGTTGGCAATGTCGCGCATGATGTGCGAGAAGAGCCCGTCCACCCACTCGCGCGTGGCCAGGTTGATGTAGCCGTACAGCTCGTGATTGGTGACCGCCTTTGGGTTGAGGTCGGCCCAGATGGGCTTGCGCCCTTGCAGCTGGTACGTCTTGTTGAGGGAGCGCAGGACGCCCGTCTTGCCCGTGGCGGCGGGGCCGAGCACAAACACAGAGTGGCGCACGTCAAGCAGCTCCTGCAGCTGCACAATCTTGAGCAGGAAGCTGTCCTCCGCCTGGTAGCCGAGGGACAGCACAGCTTCGCGCACCGTCTTCTCAAAGTCCATGTCACGCTTGCGCGGGACGTCCAGGCCGGGGAACAGGTCGCCAATGAGGCCCATAAACACGGGCAGATCCTCGTTGACAATCTTGGGGATGTTGAAGTCGCGGAGGGCGCGCATGAGCACCTCCTCCTCGGAGCGGTCCGGGTCCGCCCGCTTCAGAGCGCCCGCAACGACGAGCACAGACTTGATGGCGCGCAGGCCCCAATCGTAGTGGTCCTGCTTGGAGAGGAGATCGCGGTTGAGCGTGTAGAGCGTGATGAACTTGCGCGCAAGCAGCTTGGCGTCGAGGAAACCTTCGGACACGAGCATAATCTCGCAGATCATGCCGTAGTCGGGCACGACCATGGCACAGGGGCGGAAGAGCGCCTTGATGTTCTCCGGCAGCTCGGTGCGGCCGGCGTAGCCGGGGTTCATGGTGATGAAGATGCCCACAGACGGGGTGAGGGAGATCACCTCGCCCAGGAAGTTGAAGCGCTGCTTCTTGGCGCGGATGGCGTCCTGGATGGTCTTCACCTGCACGGCGACGACAGAGAGCACCTCGACGGAGATGCGGTTGAACTCGTCGAAGCAGCCCCACGCGCCAGACTGCGCCAGGCCCTTGTAGATGTTGCCAACAGACTTGTAGTCCATCTGCTCACTGCAGTTGAACTGTTTGGTGTGTTGGGGGGGGGATGGTGATGGGAAGGGAAAGAGGGTGAGGCGGAGGAAGTTAAGGGCGTGCAAGAATATATAATGTCACAGGGTGAGGTTATGTATGAGATCACCGCAAACCAATCACAGCAGACCAACACCAAATCACGACCGACGACAGAACACGTGTGTGTGTGTGTGTGTGTGTGTGTGTGTGTGTGTGTGTGTGTGTGTGTGTGTGTGTGTGTGTGTGTGTGTATGTACAAGAACAAACCAAACAACCGACTCTGTACCACCAACACACATATACCAATGCATACGCGCATACAAACGAGCAAAACCGACTCTCTACCACCCAAATACATGCACACGCACACATGTCTGTTGGTAACTAACCACGTAGATGGGAAGACTGATACACCTGGAAAGATCCTTGGTGGTCTCTGTCTTGCCCGTACCGGCGGGGCCAGCAGGGGCGCCGGACATGATGAGATGCAGGGACTGCGTGAGGGTGATGTAGCAGCGATCCGTGAGCGGCGTGACCACCAGCCGCGGCACGTTGCCCAGGTACTCGTAGGCGTAGTTGAAGCGGGCATCGCAAATGTGCACGCGGCACAATTTGGCTTGCTCGTCCCAGATGTGGCGCAGCTGGCACTGCCAGTCAAACGCCTCGGCAGACTCCGCCTTGACGTTGATGAGGTGGATGACGACGTCACGGCAATGCACGTCAATGGTACAGATGGTCTGCAGCATGCGGCGGTGCGCCTTGCTCAGCTTGCCCTGCAGCAGGCGGATGAGGTCGTTGAGCAGCGACACCTGCTTCTTGTTGTACTCCTTCATCGCCGTCTCAAAGCCCTCCTCCAGGCGTGAGAAGGCAATGGTCACCTCTGTGGCCCACCAAATCTGCGTGCCCGTGAGCGAGATCTGCGCTGGGTAATCAAACACCCACTCGCGCCGCGGCTTCTCCTCGTAGCCAACGACGGCCTCGGCCAGAATGTCGCGCAGCGTGTCGCGGTGCACGTCCAGGAGGTGGTTCAGCCAGTCCTCCACGCGGCCCTGCAGCACACACTCGCGCGTAAACTCCACGTACTCGCCGTCCGTGGCGTACATGCCGAGCGCGGTGTTGGGGTCGTCGTCCGGCTGCTTCAGGCCGCCCATGGCCGTGAACAGCTTGGCAAGCTGCTTGGCAACCTTGGGCGGGTTGTTGCCGTTGGACAGAATGTCCAGCAAGTCCGCGCCGGACACGAAGTAGAAGCGCGGGAACGCCAGCCGCTTCGTCTCCAGGTACTCCTGCAGCGACTTCTCGCACAGGCCCAGGCGCGACTGGATGTTCTCCAGCTTCTCGTACAGGCCGGCCTTGTTCGTGGCCTCAATCACGTTGGGCGTCTTGGCGGCGTCGTGCGCCACCTCCTTGAAGTCGACGTCAATGGTGTCAAAGCGCTTGCTGTCCTCCGGAAGCTGCTGCCGAATGTCCTCGGAGCCAATGAAGATGGACTCGAGGTGCGACCACGTGCGCTGCACCTCCGTGTAAATCTCAATCACAGAGTCTGCCGTGGACAGCTTCTTCTGCCAGCCAGAGACGTCTTCCAGGAAGTACGCAATGTACTTGGACGTCATGAGGTTCTGGATCTGCACCTGGTTGTCCTCCAGCGTCTCAATCAGCTCCTCAGACGTCTTCAGCAGTGGCGTGCCCGTGGACTTGTGCGTGTCGTACTCAAACTCGAGCGCGCTCCACGTCGCGTCCAGCTCCCGCAGCGTCTTCTCCATGCCCTGCTCCTTGTTGGCGCGGTCCACAATCGTGGCCACGTCGTCCTCGAAGTTGTGCAGGTTGAGCGCGAGCAGGTCGGCCAGCCGCGTGTCCTCGGTCATGACAATCTTCACGCCCGTCGCCTGCATGAGCTGCTGCCAGTGGCGGTCGCGGATGGAGGGGCTCTGCAGCAGGCCGACGGCGCCCAGCGACGTGATCATGTTTTTCACCTCGTTGTCCACGCCGTTGAACGCCTCCCACGCGCGGGACTCCTTGTCCAACTTGCGAATCTCCTTGACAAAGCGCTTGCACTCCATCTCCATGTTCTCCACGTTCACCTCCTTCCACTTTGTCGTCTTCCACGCCGCAAACTCGGAGCGCACGACGAAAACCATGTCCCACAGGTTCTTGAGCATGATGAGCTCGCGCTTGCACGCGCGCAGCTGCTTGTACTCCGGCAGCTTGACGTTGAAGAGGGTGGCGGACTCGGCCAGCTTGGACATCTCCGCGTCCATCTCCAGGTACTCGCGGTAGTGGTTGTCAATCTGCTGGTACACCCGCTGCGCGTCGTACCGCGTGGGTGCCCGCTTGACAAAGTCCTCGCGGAACTCAAAGTTGCGCACGTCAAACTGGTTGGCCTTGCGCTTGAGCTTGGCCACCTCGTCGGCCTGCAGCGGCGCGACGTCGTTGCTCACCTGGTTGGCGAGCTTCTTGCAGTCGGTCCAGCGCTCCGGCAGCTTGTCCAGCTGCGTCAGCACCTCGGGGCCGACCTCCACCTCGTACGTGTTGAGCAGCTTCACCGTGTCGCCGAGCGGGCCGAACATGGCGTCGGTGGCCTCCGCGCGGGAGGTGAGGGCGTTGAGGTAGCCCATCACGCCGACCAGCGCGTCGTAGTCGCCCTCGGGCACCTCCTTGGTCAGGCCAACCTTGGCCGACTCGATAAACGTCTGCAGGTCGTTGAGGCTGGAGGTGACGTGTGTCTGCAGGTGGTTGAGGAACAGGAAGCTCCACTTCTTGATGATGTTGTACAGCTCGTACTTGAAGCTTCGGCTGTCAATCACCAGCCAGCCGTCAAACACGCTCGAGTCGTCCAGGGCCTTCACCTCCTCGGCAACGGCGTTGTACTTGTCAATGTTCTCCTGGAACTGCTCCAGCGTGGGCGGGTTCTCCTCCACCTGCCCGCCCTCCTCCGCAGCGGCCTCAATCTCCTCTTGCGTCAGCACGTGCCCGTACTTGAGGAACTGCTCCAAGAAGTCGTCCATGTCGTCGCGCCACAGGTGCTCGTACTTGTTGCGCAGCGTCTGCTCCAGCTCCAGGGCAGCGTCGACGGCGGCGTTGACCTTGCTCTCCAGCTCGTCCTGCAGGTCCATGAGCTCCTCCATGTCCGCCAGTTCCTCCCGGTACGACCGCCCGCCCGCGTGCTGCGACAGCCGCGGGAACAGCGAGCCCACGTCCAGAAAGTCGGACACAACCTGCAAGTTCTGCTCCAGGAGCGACGGCTGCGGGTCGGTGTCGTTGATGCCGGGCTCAAAGCAGATTTCGGGCGCAATGAGCGACATCTTGCCGTCCTGCAGCGGGCGGTGCTTCTCGCCGCCGTGCGCGTGTGTGCCAGCGCCAGCGCCATGGCGGGCAGCACCAGCAGCGGTGGCGGCAGCAGCAGCGGTCGTGTCAACGTCGCCATCCGCCGCAGCGGCGTTGGCGGCGGCGGTTTCCTTACCCTCCATGCGATCAAGCAGGTAGGCCATGGACACGTGCACGACGTTGTAGAGGCCGTTGAGGACAAGCTGGTCAACAAAGTCGACGTACGCCTGCCAGTTGGGGTCGCTGTGCTCCACGCCAAAGAGCTGCCTGTTCTCCTCAAGCAAGCGGATAAACTTGAGGCCCGTCTTGCGGATCTTGTCCTTGTGTGGCGCCATGAGCTTGGTGCGGTCCTGAATCTGCAACAGGCCGGACTTGTGGTCGCGGACGAAGAGCGGGTCGACGTACCACTCCGCCATGTCCTTTGTCATCACCTCGACGTTGGTCTTGGAGCTGGACAGGCGGTCGCTCAGGTCCTCAATCACCTCCTTCATCTGCAGGCAGTATGCCTCTGTCTCGGACGAGTTCCAGTTGAGCTCGTTGATGCCGCGTTCAAGGTGCGCGTCGATGGCCGCCAACTCCTGCTCCACCAGCGGCGCCTCCACGTCAAGCAGGTGCTCCTGGATGCGGTTGTACTCTGTGACGGCAATGTTGAGGTTGCCAAGCACCTCGTGGAACTGCTCGTTGCGCGCGAAGATGGCTGTTGCGCTGTCGGGGATGTCGTGATTGCCGGCCTTGAGCTTCATCGGGCCCGCGGCGCCCCCGTTCTCCGTGGCCGCCTCCTTGTCCTTGTCCTGCTCCTGCTGCTGCTGCTCCTGCTGCTGCTGCTGCTGCTGGGATGCGCGCTTGGTGCCGGGCGCGGTGGAGGGCTTGCGGGCGGCGGTGTTGGGCCGGGTGGAGACCACGGCGGCGTTGTGCAGCGTCTGCAGGTACTTCACCTCGCGCAGCACGGCCACCAGCTGCGGGTCAAAGTTGACGTGGATGAGGAAGGTGTCTGGGTCGCGCACGAGGAGCGGCAGGGCGAGGTTGTGCTCGCTACGCTCACCAACGGACGACGCCCACTCCTCAAAGACCTTTGCCTCGTGCTGCTTGAAGAGAGCAAGCAGCTCGTCGTGCTTGGCAAAGATGCGCTCAGACTCGGCCGTCTGGAACAGCGGGTGGTTCATGGCCACAAACTGGTCGCGCGGGCGCTGCGTGCGCTGGCGGAACTCGGCAAGCACGCGCAGGCGGCCGGCTGTGTCTGGCATGTTCTTGGCCAGCAGGGGCTGCTGCTGCAGGTCGTCAAAGAGGGACTTGACTGTGTCGAGGTCCTCCTCGTACATGGTGAGCAGCCGCGGGTACTGCGGGCCCACGTCGTCAATGACGTCAGCGCGGTCGAGCAGGCCCATAAAGCCGTGGATGAGCTTGAAGGCGCCCTCCAGGCCCACGCACTGCTCAAAGCTCTGCAGGGCAATGGCGCCGATGCGGTAGTCGAAATCCGCGCGAAGCTCCATGAAGCTCTTGTACTCCTCTTCAAAGTCAGGCACGACAGGGTCGAGGCAGTCAAAGCCTTCGTCGCCAGTGACCTTGCCAAGGTGCTCCCACCGCGCAACAATCGTGTCGTACATCTGCTTCAGCTGGCGGTTCAGCTGCATTGGGGGGAGGGGGTGGGGGCGGCGTGGAGAAAGGAAGGCAAAGAAAGCGAACGATGTGTGGGAGAGTGAGAGTGTGTGCGTGTGTATGAGTGTGTATGAAATTAGGAGTTCTGCGATGTGTAACTGAGCGGACAGGCAGGCAGGCAGGCAGATAGACAAACGAAACGAAACAAAGCAAAACAAAGCAAAGCAAAACAAAACAAAGCAAAGCAAAGCAAAACAAAGCAAAGCAAAACAAACAAAGGACATGTTAAGCACACCTTCTCGCTGCTGACTTCGACCTTCTCCAGCTTGAAAAAGTCGAGGGCGTGCTCAAAGAGCTCCAGGATCATGGTGACGCGGTGCTTAAACTCGTCCAGGCGCGCAAGCACCAGGCGTGTCTCAAACTTCCACGGTGGGCACTCGCCCTGATCGGCCGCTGTGTTGATGCTGGCGCGCGTGTCCGCGAGCAGCCGCTCTGTGAGAGCAATGAGCTTGAGGGCGTGCTGTGGCTTGACAATGCCCTCGTCCACCTCCAGCGAGAACACGCTGCGCGGCTCAAGCGTGTTGTGCACGGCGACGATAATTTGGTTCATCATCTCGCGCAGCAGCACGACAATGTGGCGCGGCGTTGCGTAGTGCTTGGCGTGGCGCCAGACGAGCTCGACCGTGTGAAATGCCGACGTCAGCAGCTTCTCCATGTCCTCAAAGGGTGTCTCCTCGATGCTCTCCAGGTAGCGGCGCAAGGGCTCGAGGTGCGCGCTGATGTCTGTTGCTTCCTCAAGCGCGCTGTGCACGTCCTCCTGCAGCGTGCGCAGCGCCGCCGCGTAGGAGCTCTGCTCGTGGTCGAGCACGGCCTGCATCTTCTTCATGCGCGCGCTGGTGAGCTGGCTATGCAGGCTCTGCAGCGACTTGCACTTTGCCGCCCAAAAGTCAAGCTCAACAAGTGCTGTCGGGTGCTGCCCGTCCATGAGCAGCTGCGCAGAGTCGCGCTTGAGCACCTCGCGAATCTGCCGCGTCCACTCAATCACGCCAGACTCAATCGCGTGCACCATGCTCTTGTCCCGCGCAAGCTCCGCAATAACCTGCTCGTCAGTGTGCGCCTTCTTGGCTCCTTCCTTCTCTGGCTCCTCCTCGCCTGCGTCCTCCTCCTCCTCCTGCTGCTGCTGTTCGTCGTCGCCAGCGGCGCCGGCTTGCGTCTGTGCTGCTGCCGCATCGTCCTCGTCGAGGACCTCTGCGCCGGCGGGCATGGGCAGCGGCATCTGGCCCTTCATGCGCCCGCACAGCACCTCCGTCGTGCTGTTGAGCGCCTGCGCCTGCGTGGAGACGTCTGTGGTGACAACGGCGGGCCACGCGGCGTTGTTGTCTGTGTTGCGCAGGATGGGCATGAGCACGCCCTCCACAAGCGACTTGACCTGGTCAACAGGCGACGTGGACAAATCACCGCAGTACAGCGACTGTTGTCGTGTAGTTGAGGGTGGGGGTGGGGGCGGCGAGTTGATTAAGGGTGGGGTGTGGTCGAGCGGGATGGATGTATGTGAGTGGCATACGCGGGGATAAACGGTGAGACATGTGTGTGTGTCTGTGTGTCTGTGTGTCTGTGTGTGTGTGTGTGTGCGTTCGCTGTTGGCATTCTATGCGGCACAAACACACACGCGCGCATACACACGGGAACGTGTGTACGTGTGCACGGTTCGCATGCACATGCACGCGCACGTGAGCCGGCGGTGTCTCACCTTGTAGTTGTCCTTTGTGATTGTGTCAGCGCCTTGCTTGATGAAGAAGGCGCCTTTCGCCTTGACCTTGGATGGAAACTCAAACAAGGGCTGAAACACGCCCTTTGCATCCAACAAGAACACAATCAAGCGCTGGTCCCTCTGGTCAAAGAAGTCCAACAGCGCTTGTCTGCACAGGGAACAGGAAGTGCGGAGGAGAAGGGGGTGAGGGTGTAGGGATGAGTGTGGTGTGTGCGTGTGGATGAGCGTGTGTTTGTTTGTTTGTTTGTTTGTTTGTTTGTTTGTTTGTTTGTTTGTTTGTTTGTTTGTTTGTTTGTTTGTTTGTTTGTTTGTGAGCGATTGTGTCAAGTTGTGTGTTTGGTGTGGAAAGAAGGAAGAAGACGTAGGTTACGCAGGAAAGAGATGCTGCATCGGGAGAAAGATTACGAACGCCATCACCGCTCAAGCAATGCAACCCCACAACCCCACAACAACGACAACGACAACAACGACAACGACAACAACAACAACAACAACAACAACAACGACAACGACAACAACAACAACAACAACAACAACAACAACTTAAACAACAACTTAAACAACAACAACAACAACAGACACATGCACGACAGGAGAACTGACTTGTATTCCTCAACGGCAATCATCTTTTGCCATTTGTCCATCTTCTGCTTAGTGGTGTCCAGGACCCAGTGGGCCATGAAGTCGGCCCGGGGGTCCTTCCACTCCTCATCGCCCATTACTGCGGGTGATTAGAGAGAGAGTGTGTGAATATGTGTGTGGTAGCGTTTGGCAGCGAGTGCGTGCGCACTGTGTCGCCTTGGCTTGACAGTGGGCTGTTGTGGCTGTGGTTACTGCTGAAGCGGCAGGTGTGTCGTGGAGATGTGTGCGTGCACGTGTGAGCGTGTCGGTGGTTCACGCGTTCAACGTCGGTGGGTATCAATAATAGCTTCAGGTGCTTCAGTTGTGCTGGTGGGGGGGGGTGTGGTTGGTTGGTGATGAAGAGGGCCTTTCCTTGCTGGGAGCGAGTCAAGTCAAAACACAGACTCACTCAAGACCGAACACAAGGAGAACGGCAAACTCAAATCCCAAACCAAAACGAAAGAGAGAGGGGGAGAGATTGATCGGCGATCAAATCACTAGATATGAGAGAAAGCGAGATGGCGGGAGAGGAGAACACGGGCAAAGGGTAGTCGGGTGTGTGTGTTCTCTTGTCTTCATCAGCTCTCTCAACTCAGCGTCCACCTTTGTGTGTATGTGGTCGTGGTGCGTCGTGTGTGAGGGGAAAACTGCCGTTGCCAGCCACAGCGCGAGTGCACAATTTTATTTTTTTTTCCGGCGTGTGTGTGTGTGTGTTGCTGGCCAGTGCGATTTGAGTGGGTTGTCAAGGCATATGTGTAGCACGGTTGTACTTTTAATAGTCTGTCACCAGTGCAACAACTTGCAACGTGGTGCAATTCGCAAATCGCGGCGAGGGCAGTGAGACAGCGTCAGTGGCAGCGTTCATTGACTGTTGTGTGTGGTGGTGCTTTGTATGTGGCCTTCCATCCATCCATCTTTGTTCCCTTGACCCTCCTTGCCCCCTCCTTCTTCTCTCTCTGTACGGGTTTGTGTCCCAACATGACGCGCCGTGCTGTGGATACGAAGCGTCGGATTCTGCTCGAGTCGCAGATCGACCGGTGCGGTCGTGTGTGTGTGTGTGTGTGTGTGTGTGTGTGTGTGTGTGTGTGTGTGTGTGTGTGTGTGTGTGTGTATGTGTGTGAGTGGCAGGTGGATTGCCATTAGTGTATATGCAAGCTCCCGTCTAGCTTGTGCTTCCTACTGTCTCATTCATGTCCACGTGCGTATGCACCTGTTGCTCAACTCACTGGACAACTGCCTTCCTTCTGACTTGCTGTGAGCAGCCTCAAGAAGCACCAGTACAAGAGCAAGGGCCAGTCCATTCTCGACCCTTACATGAACGTCAGTTTGTGTGTGTGTGTGTGTGTGTGTGTGTGTGTGTGTGTGTGTGTGTGTGTGTGTGTGTGTGTGTGGTTCAACTTGTTTGGTGGTTGGTTGGTTTGTTGCACTTGGATGTTCAACGTGCACACGCGAGCGAAAACAAGTGGGATGCCCCTCTAACTCCACTCACGGCCCACGCTGCTGCTCAACAGGTGTTCTGGAAATGGCTTGTTGAGCAAGTGCCCATGTGGGTTGCCCCAAACCTGCTCACCTGGGTGGGTCTCATGGTCAACGTCATCACCACGGCGCTCGTCGTCTTCTACAACCCGAGCATGGAAGAAGGCGTGCAGGTGTGTTGCGTTTGCGTGTGCGGTTGCGTGTGCGTACGTGTGTGCATGTGCAGTTGCGTGTGCGTGTGTGTATGTGGGTGTGTGAGTACGTGACCTGGACGACTTAAAGGTGTGTTGCACTGCCACGAGGCGTTTGGTCTTCAATCAACTCATTAATTGAGCCTCTATTGCCGTTGCAGGTGCCATCGTGGGTGTACGTGTTGTGTGCGCTCGGCATCTTCTTCTATCAGTCTCTGGACAACATTGACGGCAAGCAGGCCCGCCGCACTGGTGCGTATGTGTGTGTGTGTGTGTCCATGAATGTGGCTGTCACCAGGCGCGATGTCGTCAAGCGTTGGATTGAATGCCTGCTGTTCCTTCAACCACAAAGTGCCGTGTGCGCATACCCCCCTCTCTCTCACACACACACGGTCGCTGCCCATGTCACCACACCACCGTTTCCATCAGGGAGCGCCACGCCGCTCGGTGAGCTGTTTGATCACGGCTGCGACTCTGTCTCCACCTCTGTTGTCGTCGTCGGCGTCCTCACCGCCCTTCAGGTGACTGCTTTTGAGACTGTGTTGTGCTGCTGTATGCTGCTGCGTGTTGTGTGTTGTGTAGGTTTGTCTGATTGCGGCCCACTTCCTCGTATTCCCTGCAGCACACGTTGCATCCAAAGCTCCTTGCCTCTGTTCTCACAACAACAACAACAACTTAAACAACAACAACAACAACAACTTAAACAACAACAACAACCACAACAACGACTGAAACAACAACAACCACAACAACGACTGAAACAACAACAACTTAAACAACAACAACAACGACTGAAACAACAACAACTTAAACAACAACAACAACAAACAATCAGGTTGGCAGCTCGCTGCTTGGATTCCTGACGGCTGCGCAAGCCATCTGCCTGTTCTACTTTGCCCACTGGGAATGCTACGTCAAGGGCCGCGTTCACTTCAACACGTACGCTCACGAAAGGGGCGGAGGAGGAATGTTTGTAGTGGAGTTGTGTTGTCGTGTGTCATGATGTGGTGAGGTGTATTGTGTCTTTGCAATGGGTGGACGACCTTGTTCAACGTTTGTCGTGCCGCTATCGCCCCTCATCCAACACACACACACACACACACACACACACACACACACACACACACACACACACACACACACACACACACACACACACATGCGCAGGGTTGATGTGACTGAGGCCCAGTGGACGATCATCATGGTGCACCTGCTCACCGCCATCTTTGGCGAGGGCATCTGGGGCGCTGAAGTCTTTGGTTTTCCCGCTCGCCAGTTTGTCCTCGTCCCAACGTGAGTCGCGCTGTCTCTGCGTGCCCGTGCGTGTGCATGTGTGTGTGCATGTGTGCATGTGTGTGTGTGTTCGTGTGTGTGTGCCCGTGCGTGTGCATGTGTGTGCCCGTGTGTGTGTGTGTGTGTGTCCGTGTGTGTGTGCGTGTGCATGTGTGTGCGTGTGCATGTGTATGTGTGTCTGTGCCTTTATTGTTTGCTTGGTTTGTTTTGCTGTTCCCTGTGTGTGTGTCTGTGTGGATTTCCAAGACATGGCGCTGCTTTCCTTCGTGTTGGTTCCACCTTGTCACCTCACGACAACCCTCTCTACCCAACTCGCCCCAACTCTCCGCCTCTGCAGGCTGGCTGTTGCTGCGTTCACCATGGCGTCCTACTACAACTCCATCTGGGAAGGCGGATCAGGTGACACTGCACATCACAGCCAACCGCGCCCTCTTCGGAACACCATGCGTGAACCTCTGTCTCGCTCCATTGAGGCTTATCGATTGCACTCGTGCAAGTTTCCATGTTGTATCTGAAGTTATACATCCCTCTAGCACACCCAACTGCACCACACACCACCGCGTGTACGTACTAACGGTTCATTGTCAGCACAACAAACATACTCAGTCACTCACACTCACACACATACACACACACATACACACACGCATACACACTCGCGCGCGCGACGTGTGCAGGCCCTGCGAACACATCAGCGGCGGCAACCGGCATCCTGTCGCCCATGACCGCTCTCGTTGCGTGGTGCCTTGGCGTCTGGCACATGCACAGCCTCGAAGCCGCAAGCGATGTGCGTGTGTGCGTATGCGTCTGTGTGTGCTTTGTTTGCGTGTGTGTGCTTTGTTTGTTGTGTGCGCTTTGGTTTGTTGTGTGCGCGCGTTTGTTTATGTGTTTGTTCGTTCGTTCGGTTGTTTGGTTCGTTTGGTTTGTTTGTTTGTGGTATGCCTGTATTCGTGGTACATCTTGCAACAATTCTTCACACTAACACCACCGTCATCACCACTACCACCACCACCACCACTACCACCACCACGATGACAACACCTCCACCACTACCACTACCACCACCACGATGACAACACCACGATGACAACACCTCCACCACTACCACCACCACCACCACGATGACAACACCGTCAGCTGCCGGCCATCTTCATCCTCGGCGCGGGCTGCGCATCCGCCAAAATCACGTGCCAGCTCATCGTCGCTCACATGACAAAGGTGCACTCACACACACACACACACACACACACACACACACACACACACACACACACACACACACACACACACACAGAGCAGTGCTTGTTTTACGTGGCTCTCTGTGTGCGAGTGTGTGTGTGCGTGTGTGTTGAGTGAAGAGATGTATTCTGTTGATATTGATGCATGAGTGTTGATTTTCCATTCATCAGTACACATGCTCACCGGTCATCGCACGCACACGTGCCCACACAACACCACACAACACCACACAACAATACCACCACCAGTCGCCCGTTCCGCAGTTTGACATTTCGCACGCGGTGCCGCTCCTGTCGTACATCAGCGCTGGCGGCACGTTCTTCATGGACGGCCACACGTTCCTCCTGGCTGCCTGCATCTTCTGGTTCATCGACCTCTGTACGTGTGGGGGTCTTGCGCGCGTGATTGGTGGAAGGCGGCTGCCGGCTTGCGTGCTGGCATTGTGTGTGAGATGGAGGCAGTAGTGGTTGCACTGGTGGTGGTTGTGGTGGTGGTGGGTTTGCACCACATTTTTCCTCTTCGCGTGTGCACTCACCAGTGGCGTGTTGACACACACACACACAACACACGCACACACAACACACAACACACGCACACACAACACACAACACACGCACACACAACACACACTACTACAACTACAACAACCGTCGCCACTCCACAACAACTACAAACACCATCACCACCCATATCAGGGATTTACGGCATCCAGATTTGCCTCGACATCAGCCAGAGCTTTGGCATCAAGGTGTTCAGCATCACCCCAAAGCCGCAGCCCGACGACGCTGATGCGCACTGATGTACACGAGTACGCATGCATGCACACGCACTCGCACACGCACATACACGGCTACACGTGTACGTTTGCTTCGTGCATTAACGTGCATGCGTGTGAAATGCAACAAACTGCCTCATTTCTGTGTGTGTGTGTGTTTGTGAAAGTGTTTACCCGCACGCCGTTGAAGCGTTCGCCCTTCCTGCCATCGTTCTCAGGCTTCAGCTTGTGTATTCCAGTTGTTTTTGTCTTGTCATTCCACACCACACCACTGTATGCCATTTCGCTTTTCTCCTCAAGCCACCACCACCACCACCAACAACAACAACAACACCTCTTTTAGCATCGCGCTGTGTCGTCTTTGTCTCTCCAATACACAACTCCTCTCTTCCAACAATCACGAAATGAACACGCAGCCGCAGATCAAAGCCATAAGCGACGTAAGAGGCACACACACAGACACACAGCTGTTACTGCTTTGTGCCTGAGCCCTTCCCCTGTTGCTGCTGCTGCTGCTGCTGTTGGGTCTCCGGGATGCTGACGTGGTCCTGTGTGAATATTTCATCAAACATCGCCGCGGCATGACTTGCACTGCCACTACCACTGCCAGTAGCGGTCGATGTCACAGCACTCCCATCATGCTGCTGCTGCTGCTGCCGCTTCTGCTGCTTCTCTGTGCTCTCGTGTGGGTCCCCCTCGCGCGGTGGTGCAGATGGTGCTGGTGGGAATTGGCGCGGCGGTGGGGGCGGCGGCGTCGCCAACACAACAGGGCGCAGCTGGCGTGTCTGCTGCTGCTGTTGCTGCTGCTGTTGCTGCTGTTGTTGTGATGGAGGAGGCCGTGGCAGTGTCTGTGCCACGACCCCGGATGGAGGCTGTTGCTGTTGCTGCTGTTGCTGTTGCATTACTGGTTGCGGCTGCTGAATGTGCACCTGCACCACTGGCACCTGCTGCTGCTGCTGCTGCTGCTTCTGCTGATGGCGTGGCGGCGCAACAGAACACAGCGTCGTGGTGGAGCTGGCATAGCCAACTGACATGTACTCCCCAAGACCATTGTCCCCACCACGACCACCATTGCCACCACCACGACCGTCATGGCGATCACCATAGCTGCGTCTGCGTTGCGTTTGCCTGCGCCGTGTGAACCGGCGGCGGTCGCTGCCACCACGCGAAACCAGCGAGAAGGCTGATGTCAGGTGTGACAGGCCGCGTGCAAGCGGGCGGTTGTGCCTGCGAATCATGTCTGACATCCACGCATCATCATCCTCACCAACACGGCGTGTGCGGATGGACGCGCGCTGAAACGCGTGCTGCTGGTGCTGTTGTTGCTGGTGTTGAAGCTGCGTGCGAAGCTGGATTTGCCGCTCGCGTTCTTGCAAGTAGCGCTCGTGCACTGGGTCGTACGCACCCGCCATCACAACTGCTCCTGCTGCTGCTGCTCCCGTTGCTTGCGGTGGCAGTGGTGGCGGTGGTGGCGGTACAGCACCAATGCGCCCGCGATGACGAGCGGCACTCCCCATTGTCTTGTGAAGAGCCTTGTTCCTCTTGTCCACTCGACGTCGCTCGCCCTTGACCTGCGCCTTGCGTAGATCCTTGGCGTACTTTCGCATGCGCTTGTTGTGCTTTTCCAGTGCCACCTTTGCTGCCTTGCCCGTCTTTCCTTTCAGCACCGCGTTCATCTTGATCTGCTCCTTCTTCATCTTCGTCTTCACCTGTGCTTCCTTCCGATTGCTCAAGTCCCTCTCACCTCGCCTGCCTCGTGCCTCTCTCTTCCTCATCTTCTCCTCCGCCCTCCTCATCGCCTTCAGTCTCCTCCGCTCCATCTTCTCCACCTTCCTCAAGTCTTTCTTCCTGTGCACGTACTTCCGCTTGCCGTCTGCACCCTTGACGTAGTACCTGCCATGCTTGTCCACAAAGCACCCAATGTGCGTCTCCTTTGCCCTCCTGCGCCTCAACTCCCGCTCCCTGCGCCCACGCCGCCCGTCGTCTCGCCCCCGCGGCACAGGTCTGCCGTATCGATCGACACGCGGGCGACGTGCATCCCTCCTGTTGCGGGTGCGGCCACGCCTGGTGGTTGTCGGGCGGGTGTTGGCCTGTCGCCGGCCCCAGATGCTGCGCGTGGGGTTGCTGCTGTTGGTGTTGTTGGTGGTGGTGTTGCCGCCCATGCCATCGTCGTCCTCGTCACCACCGCACATGCCGCACCCACAGGCGGAGCACAGCGCGCGTGTGCCGCACGACAGCATGGATGGCAGCAGCCCAAACTTCATGCACATGGCCAGGCCGCCCAGCGCAGCGAGGCCGCCAAGAATGCCAAGCACGCCCGGCAGGCTGAGCCCCAGGCGATCAAAGAACTTGCCCAGACCTTTACCAAAGTCATCCAAGCCAAGGGCGTCGTCGTCGTCGCCTTGATCTGCGTCGCGGTTGCCAAGTGGTTCATCGTCGTCCCAGCAAGCGACGGGCTGATCCCCCACGCACGTGCAGTCGCACAGCCCAAGGCAGGCGCATGTGGCAGTGGTCTTGAAGGCGACAAACCCGGTGTCTGTGATGCGCCCGCGGGCGTTTTTGGCCTCGACGCGGCACGTGTGCACGACCTCCTGCGTGCTGCTGGTGCGGAGCGGGATGATGGCGTCACGGAGGTGGCCCGTGTCTGTCTGCTTCCACGATATCGCTGTTGTCGGCACGGGGAGGACGAGGTCTGAGCACTCGACGCTGAGGTACACGGTTGACGGGCGCTTGTCGAGTCGTGCAAGCTCAATCCACAGGAAGATGTCACGAGAGACGGAGGCCAGGCCATACACGCCAAGCTCGAAGATGCTGAAGGAGACGTCGAGCACGAAGATGCGGCTGTCGTCCGCCTCAATCTCCAGCGTGTAGAGCGATTCCTGCGGGATGTCGGCCTTGAATGCCAGCATATTCTGCACACGCTCACCGACGGCTTGCCGCTTGACAAGCGGTGGCCCCAGCCTGCCTGCCATGTACTGAGCCGCCCTACCAGCGGCCAACCGGTCGAGGTCCTGGGCGACGAGGTGCGCTGGCTGGTTGTCCAGGCACGAGAACGGGTCCATGTTGCACCCGCCGCTCTTCCCGTGCTGGTAGAAGGCGGTGAAGCTGACCCCCGGCTTGTTGCACGTCTCGCCGCTCAGGTCCACGTCTGTCTTGTCGAGCAGCAGCCAGTGCGCGGGGGAGCGGCGGAACGGGAACATGGGGTCGGTGGAGTTCTCGAACTGGTAGAAGTTGGGCGTGAGCAGGACGCGGGTGGTGAGGTCGTGCGGAAAAATGCTTGGCGCGAGGTCGCCCAGGTACGTGGCGATGACGGTGCCGTTCGTGCTGCGCGCAACCTTGTTCTGCACGCCAATCAACAGCACGTCCACGCAGTAGAAGGCGAACCCGTTGACGCGCCTCGTTGGCCTCGCGTTGCTGTCCTTGCACGCCTGGGTTGGCTCGGGTATGGTTCCGTTGAACGATGTCTCCTTGTACACGGCGAGGCGGATGGTGTGCGAGACCTGCGCGCGATCCAGCTCCCATGCGTCGTACCAGTTGGGCCAAAAGCGCAGGCAGTGTGCCGAGGAGTAGTGCGGGCTGTACAGCCTGCACTTGAGGTTACCCCTGTATGCATTGTTGCCGCCACCAGAAAAGAACTTGCACTTGCAGCAGAACCCCTGCGAGTTGGGGATGCGCTCGCCCTTGCGCACGAAGTACCCGCACGTGGGGTGCTCGGCCGTTGGCGCGTCGCGGCATGGGTCGAAGAAGAACGCAATCTGCGTGTTGCTGCGCTTGACTTTGAACCAGTGCTCGTACGGGAGGGAGTTGATGCTCGACTGGTACACGAGCGGGTAGTTCACGAAGGCGTCACTCTTGGTCGGGTAGATGCGATATCGCTGTCCAAGGGGCTTCTCCTGGCCGTTCTCGATGTAGTTGGTGACCTCCACCACCTCCGGCAGCTGCTGCCCGTTGCCGATGGACAGGGTCATGACGAGTTTCTTCTTGCAAGTGCCGCCGAGTGACGACAGCGGCTGGTTCGTGGCGCTTGTGGACTCGCACACCTCCAGGCGACTGTTGGCGATGACCAGCGCATCTGTTGGGTCCGAACGCTCAACAACGAGCGCCACAAGCGCAGCGACCAGCGCCAGCATCTGCACCTGCTGTGGTGCCATTGCTGGTAAACTCACGAGCCGGGTTGCGGTCCTGCTGGTGCTTTTGTTTCTCTGGTTGTTGCAGGGATCGGGCCTTGTCAAGCGTCAGCAGTGCAGACTGTGCCCTGCTCTGTGTGTGTGTGTGAGTGTGTGTGTGTATATGTATGTGTGTGAAAGTGTGTGTGTGTGTATTGTGTGTGTATGTATGTGTGTGAGTGAGTGAGTGAGTGAGTGAGTGAGAGAGAGAGTGTGTGTGTGTGTAAGTGTGGAGGTGAGAGATGCGAAGCAACCAAAGCAAATAAAAGCGGCGCGTGCTGTGGTGCTGTTCGTGGCACGCACGCGCGTGTGTGCGTAATGACACTCGCCTGTTTTCGCTTGCATGGTGGGTGTGATGCACTGGCCAAGAGAGCAGACGGGGGAAGCAACAGTGAGGAGAGTGGGGACAGCGAGGAGAGCCGAGGATTTGGAAGGTTCGGAACTTCATCATGGTGGCGGTGATGGCAGGTTGTCTGGCAGATGTGCGGCTGTGGCAGATGAGTTATTGAGGTGTGTCCTTGAAGCTCCTCCTGCTCCTCAAGGAAAATCCGGACGACAACCAAAACAACGCTGGTGGTGATGGAATGTGTGCGATGCTTTGGTGCCCTTGACTTCCGTATCGCTCTCGCAGCGCACCACTCACTTGCCAAGAGAGTGTGCGCGAGTGAATGGTGTGTGCATCGCAGCCAAGACGGTGGCAGGAACAGACGGGCAGATAGATTGAGAGGGGCGGCTGAAGCACGACGAGAAAAGAGCAGCGATGCCATCCACATCGAAAACAGCAGCTGTCGGGAAGGTGCTGCTGGTGGCAGTTGCGGTGGTGTTGACGAGTGTGTTGGTGAGCACGCGAGCCGTGCGGGCAGCAGGAGATACAACAACAAAAGACGGTGCTGCACTGCCTGGCAGCGAAAATGCCGAGGAGTACCAGCCAGGCCTTGCGTCGGCAAAGCTACGCGCAAGAGGCGTTCACATCGGCTCCCCACTTCATCAGGAAGAGCAGCAACAGAAGCACAAGCACCACCAGCAAGGCAGTGCGCGAGTGCTCGACAAGGAAACGCGCATGGCGCAGGGGGAACAGAACTGCGTTGTGTCAGACTGGGTGGATGTCAGCGCCTGCACCCACGCTTGTGGCGGGGGCACACAACAGCAAATGAGAGAAGTGATTGCACCTCCCTCCGAGAACGGCCGACCAGTGAGTCTGCACATGTGGTGGAGGAGGGGGTTTCTGTGTGTGTATCTGTGTGTGTATCTGTGTCTGTATGTCTGTGTGTGTGTGTGTGTGTCTGTCTGTGCCTGTATGTCTGTGTGTGTGTGTGTGTGTCTGTGTCTGTGTGTGTCTGTGTGTCTGTCTGTCCCTCTGCCTACCCGTTTGCCTGTTTACCTGGTGTCTGTGTGTCTGTGTGCCTGTGTATCTGCTTGCCTGTGTGTCTGCCTGCCTGTCTGTCGGTCTGTCGGTCTGTCGGTCTGTCTGCGGAGCTTGCTTTCTGTTTCCCTGTGCGTTAAGCAACATGCCTCCGAGTCGTATGCACCCACTTCAAAATATGCTCACACTATGTTTGTCATCACTCGCAGTGCCCAGCGCTGGTCCGCAAGGTCGTATGCAACGAAAACCCGTGCGATGATGACGGGAATGCTGAGGCACAGTCTGTGGACTGTGTCCTCAGTGAATGGGAGAACATTGGTGGGTGCTCTCAACCGTGCAACCGTGGCACCCAGCGACAAGGCCGCAAGGTGAGGCGGTGTGCGAATGGGCCGCTCGTGCTGCATTGCGCTCACACGCACTTTCACCCACCTGCTCACTTTCACCCACACTCTCACACACGAACCTGTATACGTTGACATTGACGCAGGTTCTGAGACCTGCGTCCAATGGTGGCGCAGAGTGTGGTCCAACAACACGCACCGTGGTGTGCAACCCTTTCCCGTGCAAAGAGGACGGTGATGCTATGATTGACATTGACCCAAACGCGGCTGCAGCCTACGGTGAGCAACGTATCCACACTGCAAGGGGCGAGGTGACTATGGATACAGAGTCATGCTCACGCACGCACGCACACACACAGACACACACACACACATACACTCACACACGCACATGCACTCACTCACTCTGGCGGCTGTTTGCATGGACTGGCGATAGATGTGGATTGTGTCGTTGGGCCGTGGCGACAGCAGCAAGCGTGCACCAAAGCGTGTGGTGGCGGCGTGCGTATCATGCGGCGCGACGTTGTGATTGAACCAGCTGGCAACGGTGCCGCCTGTCCCCCACTCCTCAACATTCTCCCCTGCAACACGCACGAATGCGCAGTATGTGTGCTCTCGCTGTGTTTGCTCGCACGTGTCTACACTTGTGTGTGTGTGTGTGCACGTGTGTGTGTGCACGTGTGTGTTTGCACGTGTGTATGTGCACGTGTGTGCGTGTGTGTGTATGTATGTGCGTGTGTGTGCGTGTGTGTGTGACAATCCATATGCTCGCGTAGTTGCTGCTAAATGCCCGTGCAAGCGCACCCAGCCCCGTGTCGTAGTGGTCACACCACGCACCTCATCCAACAACGGTCAACTCAACCACTATCGTTGTCCCCACGGTTGTTGTTGTTGTTGTGTCCAGCGGTCCCGCCGTGCAGCTCTCCGGCAGCGCCAAAGTGCACCGTCATCCGAACAGCCAGCAAAGTTCAGGGTACGTCAATCAACCCGTCGCATTCACCCTGTACTCACGCGCGTGTTGGTGCAAGCACATGGTCTGGATCACAGCTGCCATGAGCCGCCTTGTGTTGTCATGTCATGAGGGTATGCCCTGCATTGTGCATTCACTGCTGCAGTTGTGTGTACACCACGCATTCACACGTGCTTGCACACGCACATGCACGCATGCACCCCAATGACATCTTGCTTCTTGATCTCAGGGCACACAGCCGCTGTGTACAGATGCTCCCCACACGCCAGAGCGCGATATTGTTGAGTGTGAAAACATGCCCACTGGAAGCACATGCGAATTCGACGCGCCATCCATCCACTCAACCTGCCAGGTGGGTGCCTTTCGCACATGATTGTCTCTGCGTGTCTATGTGTGTGTGTGTGTCTGTGTGTGTGTGTGTGTGTCTGTGTGTGTGTGTGCAGTGTACTTACTTGATGTTGAGTTCAACCAAACTGAGGTCGTGGTTGTATCTTCGTCCGTCTGGCTCTGTCTTTATGTCTGGCCTGGTTCTCTTCGCCACCGACCCCCCTCCCCTCAGCTTGATGTGGCGACAGCGCTTTCAAACAAACAGCCGTGAACACACTGCTCACACCGGTTTGTCCTTGTCTCCTCGACACCTCCCCCGCGCCCTGGCCTGGGTTGCAGATGACATGCACAGATGGGCTGTGGTCACCAATGCGATGCACGGCGTGGAACGATGGGGCGCGCCCGCGACAGAGAAGGCAGCGAGCAGCCGGCACAGCACACCATGACTCACGCCACCACGATCAACAAGCGCAACAACAACAGCAGCAGCGTCAAGAGCAGGAGGAGATCCGTGGCCGCACAGGTGATGGCAACGCTGATCATGAACAGGCTGCGTTCGTCTCCAATATGGTGTTGATTGGCGGTGGCATTGCCGCAGCGGTGGCCATGGCAGGTGCTGCAGGCCTCGTACTGTATCGAACCGTCACCACCACATGGGCGTCATCGTCGCAGTCAACAGCAACAACAGCAGCCACAGCAGCAACACAAGAGCACACGACCGCGCAAAATACCACAACTGCCGCTGCTGCAATTCGGCTCGCGCGCCTCCGCGTCAAGCGGCGTCGGTCAGACCCGCTCATCATGGAGGAACAGCAGCAACAGCAACAACAGCAGCAGCGTGGTGGCAGTAGCGGTGGTGTGCTGTCTGTACCACCCACGCTGCCAGTTATCCATGAGAGCGATGAGGAAGGCGAGATTGAGGGTGAATGCGGCCGCATCACCCCAACAATGACGGATCAGCATGTCATCCGTCGCCACGCGTTTGAGCGCAGAGAGTCGTTGCTTGCAGGCATTCCACGCCCATCGCCAACACTCCAATAAATGACCGCTGAGAAGCGAGAAAAGCGAGAGAAGGTGCTTTGGTGTTCGGTTGTGTGTGCGCCCAAGAATTAACGTTACAATACCCCTGCACATCTGCTACTTTGTTCGATCTCACTGTGTCCTTTCAGTAATACACAATGTCACTCACAAGAAAACTCAGCATCAGCTCGCCACCATTTTCAATACACGCGCGCATGCACACACACACACATACAGAGCTGCTGTACGCATTGCTTGTTGCTTGATGAAGGGATGGGTTTATTCAACAGTACAGTGCGGCTAGTGCTAGCTAGCTTGCTTGCTCTTTGGTTACGAATGTGCTTACAAGAGAGAAAGAGGGGAAACGAAAAAACAAAAACAAAGGAAGGTGTCAGACGACAAGGCGTGCGAAAGAAGAGAGGGGGGGGGGAGGCGTCAGTTACAACCCGAACCAAAACCAACAACACGAAGACAAAGAAGCAAAAATCGTGTGGTGGTGGCTGCTTAGTCGGTCGGTCGCGATGATTAGGTTGCAGTTAAAGGACGACAAAGGAACAGATGTCACCAAGCTTGACAATGCAAATCAATGAGAAACAGGTAAAGAAGCATGAAGCGCCAAAGCGGTGAAGAGCAGCAACCACCCATACCAACCCGCACGCGCACAACCACAACCACATCCACACATGCGTGCGTGTGCGAAAAAAGTTGTGGTGCACACGGCAATGTGGGATGCACGCGAGCGGCAGGGAATGCAGGCAGGAACGTGGCGCGCGTCGATCGCAACGAAAAGGAGAGGAGGAAAAACGGAAAGCAAGCAGGAAGCACCAGTATGTTCACCCAAGAGAGAAAATAGAGTAGACATGACACGACGATGGATATAAACAGCGAGAGCGTGCCTCATGTACAGAACCAGAAGAATATCTTAAGAGCACCCAATGGCATCGAACGACAAAGCGTCGGGCAACCAGAACAAAACGAGCGAGCGTCGTCGCACCACACTCAGACGCTGCTGTTCTGCAGGAAGCGAAACAAAAAGAGTGGCGCATGTCATGTCCACACCCCCCCCCCAACTGTGAAACACAAGAGGATGAGCAGGTGGACAGCGTCGCTCTTGCGGCTCGGTGCAAGTGACATGTCAACAAAGTCAGGGCCAATGACAACGACAACAACGAAAAATAGTGAAACCGGAACGAAACGGCGATGGAACGCGAACAGGATGCGGCTGGTGTCAGAAGAAGTACAATAGAGGAGAGACATCGAGTCCAGCCGTGGGGCTGCATGGCTCGCTGGTGATGCTGCGACAGAAGCTGTGGCAGAAGCTGTTGTGAAGTTTGTGAGACACGGGGGTTGGTGTGAAGCTGTCAGGCAGTCGGGCGTGTGCGCTTGTCAGCTTTCTCCAGCTGCTGACGTTCGCTGGTGAAGCGCTCGGCCTGATGGACAGTCACAAAGAGGAGAGTGTGTGTGTGTGAGGAAGAAAGTGTGTGTGTGTGTTGTGTGTGTGCGTGCGTGCGTGTGTGTGTGTGTGTTGTGTGTGTGCGTGCGTGCGTGCGCGTGCGTGTGTGTGTGTGTGTGTGTGTGTGTGTGTGTGTGTGTGTGTGTGTGTGTGTGTGTGTGTGTGTGTGTGTGTGTGTGTGTGTGTGTGTGTGTGTGTGGGAGAGAAGTGAGCACAAGGTGGCAGCACTGAGCAGGGGAACAGCACGGCACAGCGCAAAGCAAGCATGCAACGGTACGCTGAAGTCTGCCTGCCTGATACTGCACGCAACCCCAACAACACGTGCACAATCGCATGGCAAACGAAGATGGGCATGCTTGCGTCACCACGTTCACAGTCTCACAGCCTCCATCGCCATATGGCGTACGCACCATGAACAGCAAGGAGTAGATGCAAAAGAGGAACGCCTGTTTCACTGTTAGCGACATGGCTTCTGGCAGCCGGCTGCCAACAGAGATGCTGCACCACACGAAAGGGCGCCATGTGGGTAGAGATATCACAGGTGCATGAGCATCGCAGACATCGTGCATGCGCGTACACGCAGGTATGTCAGGGCGGTATGGGGGTATGGGCGTGCGATTGTGCGCACACGCGCGCGTGTGTATGTGTTTGTAATGTGTGTGTGTGTGTGTGTGTGTATGTGTGTGTGTGTGTTTGTCTGTGTGTGTGTTTGTCTGTGTGTGTGTGGGGGGGGGTTGTGGGTGGGTGGTTGTCTTGGAGATGCATCATCACACGTCCGTTTGCCTCAAAGGATATTGGCAGACAGCCCACAACACTTGAAAAGCAACCAAACACGTTGAAGGTAGGCATGCACAACCAGCAGGGTGTTAGGCACTAACCACGTCTTCTCAAGGAAGGTTGTCTGCATGTGCTTGGTAACCATGGACAGGCGCTTCGGGTAACACTGATAGTACATGGCAAGCTCCACCTGCAAGGAAAGCACGTTGGGCGTGAATGAGCAGCAGTAAAGAATTGGCGCAGCGCACGGCATGTGCGTGTGGGCTAAGATGCAATGTGCTTGATGTGTGTGTGTGTGTGTGTGCGTGCGTGCGTGCGTGCGTGTGCCACTGCAAGCACTCACCATGCGCCGGGACACAAAGGGCTGCAGTTCGGGCTCGTCGTTCACAATGTACTCCAGGCGCTGCGGCTGTCCAATCGCTGCATGTGCAAACAGCACACTGAGTGAGAAGAAACGACAACGCGCAACACAAGCTACTGCACATGCCTGACTGCACACTCGCGCATGCACACGCACACACGTATGCACACATGTAGATGCAAGTGCACGTGATGGTGTGTGTGTGTGTGTTGGCTCACATCCGAGCAGCACTTACACATGTCGCCGACAGCTTTCTCCTCGCCAATGGAGAAGCAGCGAATTTCGCTCTCCAAGCCCGAGCTGCGCGGCGCTGTGGGGAAGCAAAGATGAGGACGGATACGCACACAAGATGTGTCAGTGTGAATGCAACCTACAATGCGCACGCGCGCGTGCCAAGTTCCGGACACGCGTCTTTTTCTTCTTCTTCTTTCAGTCAAAACAAGTTTACAACCACCTTATCCCATACCCGCTACCCCACACACACACACTCCGCGCCCTTCTCCGACAAAAAAAATACGGCACCATGCACAAAGCAAGCCCATGCGCGGGTGACGACGTACAGATGATGAAGCCGACCCAGCGCCCAGCGTGCTGCCCCTGCATCGTTCCCTGGTTCATCAAGTCGCGCACAGAGGGCTCCGGGCAGAAGAACGGGTGGCTGCAAGCACACGACACAGTGCAAATCGTGAAGCATGAGACGACGAGGCATGACCACCACAAAGGTGGAAGTGACTGGGCTCGGACCAACGCATATCGCGCAAACATGACACCCAGCACCACCACAACGCGTACCCAGCACACACACACACACACACACAGAGGCCGCACGCGGTGCACACCTGTGGTACCAGCCAAGAGGCGTGAGCCCCTTCTTGATTGCAATCTGCGCGGCATGCAACTGACTCGTGGGCAGGAGCTCCACGCTGTGCCGCCGCGTCTGCCAGTCCCCGTCTTCAATCGGTGTGCACGGAATCGCCTGCAAACAGCACCAGCACACAAATAAGAACATGATCGCGCAGGAGGGGCAGGGGTCGAGCGTGAGCCTGAGTACGATGGTGGAAATATGGTGGTATTTTGCGCACACACACGCGCAAAGGTGTGGCTCATGTTGGCCTCAATGGCTATTGTTGTTGCTGATGCTGTTGCTCTTGTGGTTGTCAATCAGACGAGCACATAGTGTCGCGCGCGCAGTCGCACACACTGTCGTGCACATGCATGCACGTATACACGCACACACACAAACACACATGCATTCATGCACGTGGACGCACCTCCAGAATGTGGATGCACCGCGTCGCCTCGTCATACTTGCCAGCGAGCAGACCAATCACCTCCATGTCGGAGAGATGCCTGCATCAAAGAAAACGCAAAGAGTGATGGTTTGGAAACCACGTGACACCACCACAGAAAGGGAACGTTTTGAGTCACGTAAGAGCACGCACAATGCTGTAAACTTGAGGCAAGCACACGAGCGTCAGCGCGGCTGGTCTATGTCACCCGATTCACTCTCCGCCCCCGTTCTCCTCTTCTTCACACAGCATTAGAGCATCACCCACGCTTCCCTTCCCCTCTTCCCTTCCCTTCACTGCTCCAACGACGGGTTAATAGAACGTACGCATGGAAGTCCATGACGGTGAGCACACTTGGCGAGACAATTGTCCTTCGCTCGCGATCAACAACGTCGCAGGAAACCTGAACAAACTGGCCAACTTGCTGGCTTGCTCTGCGAGCATGCAGCAAACCGTGGCACGCGGTGTTAGGTTCATGCAGTTCACAACACACGTATGAAAACACACATTTACACACACACACACATGCACATATGCACATGCAAAGAGGCACCCCCTCCACACACACACACATATGCACACGCCTACACACACACGCACACACACGCACACATACCTGCAGAGGACGTCAAACTTGGTTGCCTGGTTGCGCTGACGGCGCCCACGACGCGGGCCCGGCGGCGCTTCGCCATGGTACAGCAGGGCAAGCAGCGTATTGAAGTCAAGGCCGCTCAGCTCAGCATCCCCCACAGAGGCGGGACCCCCCGACAGTGGTGATGCATTTGTGGCTGCCGCCATGGCCGCGGGGTGCTGCTGCTGCTGCGGTACCGAGTCGCTCGAAGGGGCCGGCGGTCCAACAGTGATGCGGGCGGCGTTGGGCGCACTGGCGTCGTCGCCAATCACAGCGCAGTCCGCAGACGTGCTGCCAGCAGCATCCCCCACTCGGGCTTTCTTCGTTGGCGGCCCTGACGCCGCACCATCCCCGCCAAGGCAACCTTCATCGCTCACCCTACCTTGCTGCCCCGAAAGCGGGGCAGCAGATATCGTCTCAATGACCGCCGTCAACGCCGTTGCTGCTGTCATGCCCTTTCCTTCGCCTGCACCTCCAGGTGCACTGGCCAACATCTCGGCCGTCGCCACCTGCTGCTGCTGCTGCTGCTGCTGCTGTTTTGGCGATGCCGGCTCTTTACCAGCGTCCTCGCCATTTTGCCCTTCTGGTTCCACGGCATTCACTGCAACAGCCGCAACGTGCACGCTGCAGTCTTCCTTCCCCTTCTCCTCTGGCTGCTGAGTGCTAGCCACTGCACCGCCGGCGTTTTGGGTGCGGCTGTTGCTGCCGCGGCAAGCACCAGGCTGCACGAGCTTGCTGCTCAGGAGAGATGTCACCGTTGGTGAGCGCGCTGCAGTGGTGGCCGCGGGGACTGTCGCCCCGCCACTGTCTCCGCCAAAGCCCGCTGGTGATGGAGGCCCAGAGCCAAACCCATCAACCTGGGGTAGCGAGCCGTAGTGCGACACATCCCCAAGCCGTTGCTGCTGCTGCTGCTGCTGGGGATGGTAGGGATGTTGCTGAGGGTGGTGTGGGTGCTGTGGGTGACGAGGCTCGTGCTGCTGGTGCTGATGTTGCTGTTGTTGTTGGGCTTGGTACTGGTGCTGTGCTCGTGGATGCGGCGGTGGCTGCATAGGAAACGGGGACGCAAGACCGGCCTGCTCATGCATGGACGACAGTGCAAACGGCATGCGGTGGTCTGGCGAAGCTGGCACTGCATCTGCTGGGGGCGGGGTCAAGGGAAACAGGTCCGCAAAGGAGACGGGGAGTGTGGGCGCTCGCTGTGGAACTGGCGACATCATCGCAGCAGAAACGCTATGTGCTGTTGGCTGTGGTGCGTGCTGCTGCTGCTGCTGTTGTTGTTGTCGCTGTGGTGGTTGCTGAGGATGATAGAACGGCTGCGGCTGTTGTCGCTGTGGGTGCTGGTGCTGCTCTTGCTGGAAGCGGGGTGCGGTGTGGTCCAGAGCAAGGTTGGGAGGCAACCTTGGCGTCATGTGCAAAGTCATCGGCACCGCTTGTTGCGTACTGGCAACCAGCATATGCGGGGGAGCCGAAAGCGGTGCCGGCTGCGCATGATGGTGCTCGCCCTGCTGCTGTGGCTCATACTGCTGTGGCCGTGGCTCGAACGCTTCCTGTGGCTGATACCCGCCCTGCTGTCGTGCAGGATAGCGCGCGTGCTGCTGCTGCTGCTGCTGCTGCTGTGGCTGGTGTTGTTGATGCCGATGGGGAGGGGGTGGGTGAGCTTGCATGTATGCAAGCTGCGGATCCAACAGTGCCGGCACCACGCGCGATGCTGGCTGCTGACTCGTGGAGGGTGGCTGTGGAAGCACACGAGCGTCCACCTGCGTGGTCGCGTGCGTTGTCGTGTGTGTTGGATGATGGCTCGGAAAGAACCGGCGCACAGGTGCGGACGCCGTCGGAGCAGTGAGCATGTCGAACGGACCGGGTACACGCCCAGACGCCAGGTCATACGTGGATGGCGCAGCAGAAACATGCAGACCCCCGTAAAGCGGAAGAAGTGGCTGTGGCTGCGGCGGCTGTTGGTGGTGATGATAGTGTTGCTGCTGTTGCTGTTGCTGCTGCACGTGCGCTTGTTGCTGGTGCTGGCTGTGCGGCGCGTGCTGGTGCTGCAGATGCTGGCCATCTTCAACAACAGAATAGGGTGACGTCTGCAGGTAGTTGGACGCAGCGATGCTGAGCGAATCATCTGAAGCTGCTGCTGCTGCTGTTGCTGTTGCGGCGGGGCCGTTGACTGCTGGAGCCGCATGTCGCATCATGGAAGCAGCGGCAGGGTGCGTAAAGGGGTATGTCGACGCCACGCCCGGAACAGCACGAGCAGGTGCACCCGTGTGTCGCCCACTGCCACTCACATCGCGGGCAATGGAAACAGCTGTGGAAACAGAACCCATGTGGCCTGCTTTTGTCGTTGTTGCTGCTGCTGCTGCTGCTGCTGCTGCTGCTGCTGCTGCTGCTGTTGTTGTTGTTGTTGTTGCTGCTGCTGTTGTGGCCGATGTGTTGACGGTAGGAAGCTGAGCACGGATGCTGTTGTTGCCGCTGCTGCGTGCACGCTTGTTGCTCTTTGGTGCTTTGCTGCCCTTGGACTTCTTTGCCGCGCGGCTTCCGCCATGGCGGCGGCTCGTGCGTGATGAAGACGTTGCAGTAGTGGTGGCGGTTGTCGTTGTCGTGGTCGTGGACATGGGCGGGTTGTACACGCTGGGCATGTTGGTGAACGTCTGGGACCTCTTGGATGAGCTGGAGCTGGGCGCCAGCGGGTAGAACTGCGATAGCAGTGGCGTTGGCGGCAGCGAGGACAGGACACTTGATGTACGGGGCGCACGTGATGCCGGTGCTGTGGGCAGGCCTTTTGTCGAAGATGCCGAGGGTGCGAGCGTTGCCGCTGCTGTCGCCGCCACGGTCATAGAAGACATGCTTGACTCCAGCAGCGGCCTCATAGCCGCCAGCACATTTCGGACAACACCCGCCAGCAGCGGCAGCGGCTCCGGCTGCTGTCGATGATGTGATCGCGCCGTGTTGAACGTGCGCACAAACAGCTGGCCGATGATCCCAGCCTGTTCCTTGGACACACCCCGACGTTGAAGCTCGTCATCTATCGCCAACGCCACAGCCCCGACAGTTGCGTCGCTTGCTTTGTCAACATCGACCTGGTGCATGATGCTGAGAAGGTTGGGTGGCGCATGCTGAAGCAGATCAGAGCCGATACCATCTCCTTGCTCTTGCTGTCCTTGTTGCTGTTGCTGTCCTTGTTGTTGTTGTTGTTGTTGTTGTTGTTGTTGTTGTTGTTGTTGTTGTTGTTGTTGTTGTTGTTGTTGTTGCTGCTGCTGTTGTTGTTGTTGTTGTTGTTGTTGTTGCTGCTGCTGTTGCTGTTGTTGCTGTTGTTGTTGCTGCTGCTGCTGCTGTTGTTGCTGTTGTTGTTGCTGTTGCTGCTCTTGCGTTTCGCAGAAACGCTGCATTTTCATCAAGTTGGATGCTCTCTGCTCGCGCTCTGCTTTCAAACGTTGCTGGTGCGCGCGCATGCGTTCCTGATACCGCTTCCGCACCTCAAACAGGTGCAGCCTCTGAACTTGCGACAGCGCGGCAGCCACCTCACCCATGCCGTGCTGGGAAATGTGCTCGGCCAGTCTCCTGGTGAGTGCCGGCAGCAGGCCGTGCTTGTCAATCTGCTTGCGCAGGAGCGCTGGCGCATTTTCGTAGCTGGTCTGCAGAGCAACTGCAACGTCTTCGGGAAGAATCGACATGTCTTCCTCAGGTAATGCTAAGCCGGTCCCGCCATCACTGTCACGATCGCCATTGCCACCGCTGCCTTGTTGTTGTTGTTGTTGTTGTTGTTGTTGTTGTTGTTGGCTCTGGCTGTTGGCAGCGGCGGCAGCGGTGACTGTGCTCCGCCTGGAAACAGCGTTGGTTGCGGTTGAGGTCGAGGGCACAACGGCCGCAGCCCTCGTCGCAGCTGCGTTCGTCGTGGGTGGAGCACTGGGAACGGATGGCGCTCTTGATGTGGTTGTGGCCGCTGTGGCAGCAGTGGCAGTCACTGGTGTCGTGGACGCCGATGTGCTCTCCATGCAAGGATCGGAAATGCTGCGGCTGCTCGCACCAAAGGTGCGCGTGCTGGCGGGGCTGCTGCTGCTACTACTACTGCTGCCACTGCCACTGCCACTGCTACTGCTGCTACTGCTGCTACTGCTGCTGCCACTGCTACTGCTACTGCTGCTGGTGGTGCTGGGGGTGGCGGTGCTGCTGCTGTTGTCGGCAGAGTGCCCGCGCCTGCCACTGACAGCCGGGCTACTGGCATGTGCTGCTCCATGACCTGCATGTGCAGCAGGCGTGCTTGTCGTCGCTGCCGGTGCTGTCGCTGCGGTAGTGGTGGCGCTACTGTTTTGTGAGCGTGTACCTGCTGGCATTGCCGCCGTCACTACCGTGTTGCTCCCGCTGCTGGCTCCCGGCGCATTGCTTCCCGTCCGCCCATCCTGCTTGTGCTGTCCAACTTTGCTGGGTGTTGCTGTAGCAGCAGGTGTTGTTGTTGTTGTTGTTGTTGTTGTTGTTGTCGCTGTGGCTGCAGCGGCTGTTTCCTCTTCGTCATCATCATCGCCAGTATCGTCTGCAGGATCTCCAGCATCAACCTTGGCCGGTGTTGTGTTGGCTGTTCGCGTGGGCGTGGATGCCGTTGAGCGTGGCGACCGGCGCTTGCGGCTGCTGCGATTCTTCTTCCCCGTTGCACGCCGCGGCAACGGCGGCCCGCACACAACAGGCACGCAGTCTCCAAGGGCGTTTTCCGGGTTCACTGTTGGCACGAGCGACACGACTCCTGCTGCCTGTGCTGCTCGGGCTCCATCGCCATCATCGCCATCATCACCATTGTCGTCACCGCCGCTGTCAGCAACAGGTGTCGTTGTACTCGACTCTGTGCTTGCTGCGGTTGTGGTGGCGGCGGCCTCTTGAATGCGTGGCGCTGCAGTGTCCTGCTTCTGCTGGCCCTGCTTGCGACGTGCTCCAGTATCCGTCGTAGCATCGTCATCGCTATCATCATCGTCGTCATCACTGTTGCTGGCACCGCGGTTGGGGCTGCTTCGCCTGCTGCTGTTGTCACTGTTGTTGCTGTTGTTGCTGTTGCCTGCCTCTGTCTCGCCAGCGCGTGTATTCGGGGGTGAGCACCGCTTTGCACGCTCTGCTGACGGACCAACTGTGATGAGGGCCGCTGGAGCGACCGTGGGTGTGAGGGACGGCGAAGCCGCCGTGTGCGCAGCGGACGCGACTGGTACTGTTGTCGTTGTCGCTGCTGTGGTGGTTGTCGCTGCTGTGGTGGTTGTCGCTGCTGTGTCAGGCAGGCCTGCTGCCGGTGCGGTGGGTCCGGTGCCGGCTGCGAGCGCCCATGGGTTATTTGGTGAGCAGCTCGTCGCTGATGGCGGCTGTACAACGGCCGGCGTGATGGCGGCTGCTTCGCTCACCGTCGGCACAAGCGCTGCTACGGGCCCTTGCGGCTCAGATGCGGCCTGAGGTGGTGGCGCTGTTGGCGACGTTGTCAACGACGGAACCGACGACAGCAAGTCCCTCAGCGTGGAATGCGTACCGCTGCTGCCGCTGCCACTGTCAATAACCATGGGTGCGGGTGGGCAAGACAACGCAGTCTCAGTAGTGGTGACGATGGTATTTGCTGCAGACACCACGGGCGTCAACGCAGACTGGGCGCGCCGCTGCTGCTTCTGCCTGGACGACGTGAGCTCGTTCTCGGGGTTGACGCTAAGCAGCGGCACGGAGGCAGCACCAGATGTGCCAGAACCATCGGCATTGTGCTGCTGAACTGCCTCCTGCACCTGAACTTGTTCACCTTTTGGTATCGCAGACACCACATCCGCGGCACCTTGCTTCTCCAACGGCTGCGCCTGCGCATGCTGCTGCTCCTGTTCCTGTTCCGCTGCTGCCTTTGCTGCCTTTGCCGCTTGATTCTTTGCCCGTTTCATTGCTGCCTTGCGTGCTCTGTTGCGCCTGGCTCTCGGGCCCAAGCAGAACCTGCGCCGGCGCGATTTTCGGCGCACGGGTTGTTTCACTGTGGGCTGGCTGACGTCACTGTCGCTCTCGTCCTCATTGCCAGTGCCAGTGCCGTCCTCCTCTTGGTCCAAGTCCTCGCCACCCTCGTGGTCGTCATCATCGTCGCTCCCCTCACCGCGTGTTCCTATGGTCTTGCTACGCTTTCCAGCCGTGGCAGCCTCCTCCTCCTCCTCGTCCTCGTCGTCGTTAGGCGTTGGTTCACACGCACACGATGACGTCGATGATGTGGGCGGCGGCAGCAATGGCACAGCGCGGCCACCGCTGAGGGCATCCGCGGCCTGCACAATGGCCTCCACCTCTGCTTCATTGGCGACAGTCGGGTATGTCATGGGGACAACTGGCTGCCGCGCAAGGCTGTTGAGTGCTGAAACAACAGCAGGCGCGCTCGTGCCAAGCACCATGCGTGCTGAATAATGATTGGAGAGGGGAAGCATGTTCGTGGTGGCACCGGAAGAGTGAGAAGCATAGAAAGGCGCACACGTACGTCTTGTGTGTGTGTGTGTGTGCGTGTGTGTGTGCGTGCGTGTGTGTGTGCGTGTGTGCGTGTGTGGGTGTGTGCGGAGACAAGTGGTTGTGAGGGCGCACGTCTTACTTGATTGGTGCAAAGCCGCGCGAAGCTTGTCTTCAAAGTTGTCTGGGATACTGCATTGTGAAATCACAACAACGAGGTGGGCGAACAGTCACAAGGCACGTGAGCACGTGCATGGAAGGCACACAAGTGAGAAACACATACACACGCCTACGCATGAACCGATGACACACATACACACACATGCACATGCACACAAAACTGTAAACACAACACAAACGCAAACACAATTGCACGCACACGCTCACGCTCACGCCACCACACACACATACACGAGCACGGGCACACGTACGCGATGGTGATGCTGTCGGGCGCTCGTTTGGGGAAGAAGAGGGCGGAATCGACATGGGGCAACGTTGTCAGCTCTCCAAACGAGGCGATGGCAGTCATCATGTTGCCAATCATAAACTGAAGCCCAACAAAGCTATCGTTGGGCATGTGTTTGATGCTCAGCAGGTACGCGTCGCTGCCACCATCCTACACCGGGTGAGCGTGGGATGTATGTATGTGTGTGTGTGTGTGTGTGTGTGTGTGTGTGTGTGTGTGTGTGTGTGTGTGTGTGTGTGTGTGTGTGTGTGTAGCGCCGTGAAGGTGTGGGGTGGGGCGTCAGTACTCTGTGTTCTCGTGTGGATGACAACACACTTTTGTGAATATATTGACAGGTGCTCAAGTCGGCGCCAATGAAGAGGATTGAGATTGCGAGTGGAAACCAAACTGTTCTGGTCACAGCTGTCAACGACACAATCCACATCAAGCGCATTGCTGTAAGAAGCACAACGCAGAGGGGAGGCGCGTGTGGGGCCGGAGCTGGTAGTTTCATGTTGTGTGTGTGTGTGTGTGTGTGTGTGTGTGTGTGTGTGCGTTTGTGTGTGTGTGCGTGCGTGTGTGTGTGTGTGTGGGTGTGTGTGTGTGTGTGTGTGCGTGCATCTGTGTCATGGTATCTTGTCCTGCTTCAATGCGACGTCTGTCGAATGGTCGCCGTGTTGATCTGCGGCACTTCCTTTGCCCTGCGTCGAGCTGCTTTGCTGTCCAGCACCCGCTCGCTTTGACGGCCCACGTTTTTCACGTACACTCACACACAAACGCTGATCTGCTTTATCCTTCTTCTTCCTCCTCGACAATTTGCCATTGACAGAACGGAAGCGCATAAAGGACGTTCTCCAGGGGAAAGTGAAGAGGAGAGAGTGGATGCAAGCTGCGCGGTGGTTGTATGATTGATTGATTCACTTCGTTTGTGTGTGTGTGTGTGTGTGTGTGCTTGGGTTGCATTGCTGTTGCACTTTTTGCTTGTGCAACTTGGTGCGGCTTGTGTCTTGTTGTGGGCATCTGGAGTAAACGATGGCCAGCAGACAGCGCATCGCAAACAGAAAACAACAACACAGGCATGCACACATGCATGCATACGACACAAGCAAGAAGCCAGCCACGCACGATGAAACACCCCACCACCACCATCACCACCACCAACAACAACAACAACAACAACAACAACAACAACAACAACAAGGGCTTCAACACCACCATCACCACCACCACCAACAACAACAACAACAACAACAACAACAACAACAACAACAACAACAACAACAACAACAAGGGCTTCAACACCACCACCACCAACAACAACAACAACAACAACAACTTAAACAACAACAACAACAACTTAAACAACAACAACTTAAACAGCAACAACAACACACGCGGCACCTGCAGCGCCACCGCCATCATGCCTGCTGCTCATCATCATCCCCGTCAGCGAACAAGGTGTGGGGGCGGGCCCTCAGCGTGACGCCGTCCTGGCGCCGCGAGTACGCTGGATTCTCGTAATGGCGTGCAGGAACTGATCCCTGCTGCTGCCGCTGCTGGCTGCGCTTGGTGTTTGCGCGGGGAACGATGGGAGGTGGTGCTGGTGCCTCAATCGTGTCATATGTGGCTTCGGCATCGCCGCCGTCACCGCTGCTACCACCACGAGCAGTGACAGCAGGCAAACAGTTGTCATACACGGCATTGCTGCTACCACGCGACGGGTGGAGCGTGTTGGAGTGCGCAACATTGTACAAATGCGGCTGCGGCCGCTGTTGATTGCCAGGAGCATGTGCCTGCGGTGGCACTGCAGTTGTTTGGCAAGGCATGTCGTCATACTCAAACCCATAGTCGGCCGTGGGCTCTTCAGCCACCCTGCTGCCCTGGTGCTGACGCGGCAGTGGTGGCAGCGGCGTTGCTGATGACACCCCACGCAACCCATACACGTTTGCACGCTGCCACTGTGTCGTGCCCGCTTGTGACGAAGGCAGTGATGATGATGATGATGGCGGTGCTTGGAATTGTCTTGCCTCCCCGTTGTGCTGTTGCTGCTTGGCTGCTTGCCAGGCTGGCGTGGCGTAAACTCCACTGGACGCTACAGCTTCTTGAGCGTGGGCAGGACTCCTCTGCGCGCGTTCAGACAACGCATTGCCATTGGTGGCGGTGGAGGACGAGGCACCCGAGACGGGTGACAGGTAGTCGTCAGCGCCGGTGAAGCCGTTCATATCTGCATAGTCGGCCTCGCTTGCTGTCGTGTCGCCCACATGACCAGGGGGCGGCTGCCACATTGGATTGGCGTGGTACGTCGAACCTAAACAGTCACGTATGATGGGTGTATGTGAGTGTGCGTGCGAGCGAGCGAAAAAAGTGTGTGGATGTATGGCGACAGCGTGAGTGAACGGGGAATGTGTTTGTGCGTGCATGTGTGCGTGTGGCTGTGAGAGGGGCGGGCGCGTGCGACTGTGCGCAAACACAGGAAAGCCTCATCGGAACAAGCAGGCCACAGAACAGTGCGTTGCTGCTCTGCAATGTGACTGCACTGCGCACCCGATGGTGAAAAGGACAATGGCGGAGACGAGGCATTCTTGTTGCTCCACGTGTCGCCAAGCTGTCATATGAGTGTGTGCAATCAAAAGCTTAGCCACTGCAACGCATACCAATAGCATAAGGTAGAACCAAGACACTCAACACGCGACACATACGCGTACACGTACAAATACAAACACAAACACAAGCACAACGTACACATCAACACGCCCCAAGCACGCACCAACGTCACACGATGGCGCACCACCCCCAACTTGAATGAACAAGCGTGTGCATGTGATCACTGTGCCACTGTGAGTGTGCTCACATCACTGTGTTCGCCACGTGCGGGCGCGTTGCAATGCTCAAATTCGTACCTGCACGGCTGTGCGTGGCTTTGCGGTGCGACGCAGCCAGACGACAAATACAGCGATGATTACAAGGGCGAGTGCGCCGACGCTGGCGCCAATCGCGATGGATGGCTGTCATGAAACAGTAGCGGTGGAGACCGTGGTGTGTGTGACACGGACAGTGAGGAGATGCGAAACTCATACACTTCTTCTCCGAATGAATGGGAAAACGTGTGACATGACTGTTTTCGGCCGCGAACATACATTCAACGCCAACACTCCAACAGGGGAGCGAGCATGCAAAGCTCGGCCACACACACACACACAAGAAACGTGCACCACCATGCATACATGCAAATATGCACGCATGCACGTGCGTACATCTGCACTGCCGGTGCTCCCACTGGCTTGGGATGGGTTGCCATCGACGACGCACATGCCCAACTCTGGCACGTAGCGCGCATTCTCTGACGAGCACACTGTCTCCACGCGGCACACCCACGAACCATCAACCTGCAACACACACACACACACACCATGCGTGAGCGTGAAGGTTTGAATGCGTGTAAACATGTGGGGCAATCACATGAGCACTTATGTTAGGTGAGTGTGTGAATACAAGTGTGACAAAGTGCGATGGAGATGAAAGCGTGTTCAGAATCCCATCGCGCGCACAGAAGCGCGAATCCTGATGCGTTGGAAACCATGGCACGTGCACATGCACACAAACTCACGAACACACACATACAGACACAGGAACACACATACAAACACAGGAACACACATACAGATGCAGAGCAGAATATGCAGCACGCAGCACGCGCTTGCTCACAAGTTCTGGTGCGCCGTTGGAGGGACACGTGCAGGTGGAGCCGTCAACACATGTTGGGCGGCTCAGACACTCCCCCGTGATGATGTGCAGTACAGAGCCAGCGGGACATGTGGCCTACAACAACACGCATGGTGGTGGTGGTGGTGGTGGTGGTGATGGTGATGGTGGTGGTGCAGTGCGTTGGAGGAATGAAAGGTGCGTAGTGAGTCACAGTGAATCATAGTGGGCGGTTCCCATGAGAAGAGAGAAGGAAAGAGACAGCGAAAGGAGCGGGAGGCGGAAGGGGTCACAGAACAGCAGAGGCCCACAGGACAGAATGGCGACAGTACAAATGGCCGCAAATTCATCAGCAGCACACGCATACGCACACATACACACAGGCACAAATACACACATTACACATCCACGTACACACACACAGAGGCGCACACAGGTGCACATACGCATGCGCACAACACAAGAACACACACACATACGCATGCGCACAACACACACACACACAAGCCGCACACACAAGCCGCACACACAAGCCGCACACACAAGCACGCACACACCTTGCCGGCGGGACAGTTGCACGCTGGACAGCGAGTGAGGGAGACAAGAGATACAGAGATGTGGGGATTGCTCGTGTAGATGGATACCACGGCCTCCACTGCACTGAACGGCGCAAACAATGTCTGCAGAATGTGGCACATGGGTGAGAAGGGAGGGGAGTCATTGATTGCAAGAGTGCCACATAGAGCGTGGAGCAAGCGATTGTGGTCAGTCCGTGCAAGTCTCACCTAAATAGGCTGAAAACACGCACATATGCACACACACACACAAGCTCACACAAGCTCACACTCCCACACCCACACACCCACACTCCCACACTCCCACACATGCATGCATGGTCATCGACAAACAAAAGCACACACGCACGCACACAAGCAAACTTGACACGCACAGGAAGAGTGCAGATGGTGTCGGACTTGAGTTCCGGTGGCACACGCAGCTCAACAAGGACCGTGCTGTTGCTGTGGGAGTGTGGCACAACAAGTTGCGGTGAAACCAATCATGAGAGAGTCAGCAAAGCGACATCAAGAGCTAGCAAGAGCATTACACCTCTCAAAGTTACGATCTGCATCCACCCCACCGCCATCATCGTCAACAAACGCGCTCACATATACACACGCACACGCGCACGATATGTGCATGATGCAACATCGTACCCTGCTGCCGCTGCAAGAACGGCTGTGATTTCAACAGCGCCACGAGAGAAGATGTGTGTATCCAAGCGCCCGTCTAGCGCAATGGCGATGGCAGCAGTCAATTGCCTGCGAGCACAGGTCACGCGCGCAGTGTGTGTGTGTGTGTGTGTGTGTGTGTGTGTATGCGTGTATGTGTGTGTATGTGAGAGGGAGTGAGAGAGAAAGCGAGGGGTCGGATGGGAGACATCAAACAATGAGTGTTGGTGCTCGCTTCAATAGCAAACACACACCACACACGCACGCGCACACACCTCGTGTTAACATGAGCTGGTGGTTGCGAAATGTGCAGAACAGCCTGCACAACAACATCAACGCCGGGTTCCAGCGTTGTGGTTGTGGTTGTGGTTGTGGCGGCCAAATCATCGTCAACATCAGGAATGTCGTCGTCGTCGTCGTCGTTGTTGTTAGTGGTGGTGGTGGTGCTTGGAAGCGTCGTTGCCGCCTCTGTAGTTGTTGCGATGGTGGTGGTGGTGGTGAACGTGGTGGTGGTGGTGGCTGCTGTTGTTGTTGTTGGCTGCTCGCACGGCTCCAAACCATCTTCCCCTTCACCGCCCTGCCACCACCGCCAAGCAAACGCACACAAGCCGAAGCTCACAGTGAGTAAGTGTGAGCGTGTGTGTGTGTGTGTGTGTGTGTGTGTGTGTGTGTGTGTGTGTGTGTGTGTGTGTGTGCAATAGCAGGTTGAGGGATTTAAGAAGAGCACACACTGCGTGGAACCACGATCACTTGGTGAAGGGACGCTGACACCACCGCACCTGGAAGGGAAAGTAGAGTGCTGAGGAGGGCGCAATGAAGAGATGTGTGTTCGGCTTCAGCGACACACTGGCATTGTGTGTGTGTGTGAGTGTGTGTGTGTGTTTGTGTGTGTGTGTGAGAGAGGATAATTGGTGAAGATGTAGACTCGGCTATCAACGTGTGGCAAACAGATGTAACACCACAGATCACACGCACTCTAGCTTTCAGAAGGTGACATGATGTGACACTCGACAGCAGCCAGTTGCCTGATACCTGTCCGCACGCTGGTTGCCTTCAACGATGATGTCCTATCGGTGAATTCAATCAGAAAGCAGCGCAGAGTTGAGGGAGAAGCAGAGACAGAGAGTGCACGCAAGCACAAGTGTACAAGCACACATGTAGGATACACAAGACGCTGAGGGCACACACACACACATGTATGCATACATACACACACAAACAATCAATGCAAACACACATACACCACACGTGCATACCAGATGCATCATGACTACCGCTTGCTACGAACATGCCACGAAACACACGTCCAAGTTCTTTCCCTCTCCTTTTCCCCCACACTAAATCGCCACCATCACCGTGGTACTGGCATGCCAGCAAGCAGTGCCGTACATTGGCAGCAGCAACGTGGTCGTCGCATGCAGGACGGCGGAGTGGCGTGCCTTGGCCGCTCGTGTCAGACCCGTACAGCCAATATGAGACCGCGCTCCACACCGCAGTGTCATCGCCATCCCCAATCCAGAACACTGGCGTGCCGTGGTGCCACACAAGGAATAAGAACAAAACCCCGCATGAGTGGTCGAGTGGTGAATAGGACGCACGCTTCTTCTGCACCATCACGCTTGCAGTGGGCATTCCAAACAGGACAATGTCATGTCATCACAGACACACACGCTACACCGCCTCGGGCACAGCCCAGCACAACGAACCACAACACAACACCATGTAAAACACACACGTATGCACAAACGCACGCACACACACGCACACACACACACGCACACACGCACACACGCACACACGCACACACGCACACATGCACACACGCGCACACACACACACGCACACACGCACGCACAGTTCTCACACGATCACATGGCACCTGTGGGCGGCATCTTGACGGAGGTGGTGAGAACCGGGACATGGCTGGTTGCATTTTCTTTGTACTGTACGGATACAGACACAGCGTACGCTGCGCCTGAAGTCAGGCGATGAACCGCCATTTGGCCGGCAGCAACGTCATCTTGCGTCGTGGACAGGGCGGGGATCTGTGGGCCGGCCGACGCCTCTTCCCTCTCCAGGCTACACAGGCACGCAAACAAACCATGCGCGTGTTTGAGCAGTGTGAGAGACAAGGCATGTATGTACCTTATCGGGGACATACGCATTGGGGGGGGGGAGTTGACCAAGATCGAGGGTCCCGCGCTTGGCGATCAGCAGCACAGGCGCTGCTCGAGGTCATCAGTGCACCCAACCCCAGACCATTCCAAACACCAAGTCAACCTCGTGCACATCGTCGTTCATTCGCCTGCATGTGCGCACCTGACAATGACCCGGTCCACTCCCGCTGCTGCCCTTGACCAGGTCACAAGGAGTGTGCTCCCTGTCACGGGCTCCACCTGCTCATGCACAAAATCACACGTGCGCGGCCATCACGCGCCGTCGGTGGCAATACAGAGCAAACCTGGTGTGAGAAGATGTGCAAGTGCCCTTCAGAGCAGTATTGTTGGGCATGATGAGCAGAGCTCCCAATAACCTCACGGCAGCCGTCCTTACTTCCTTAGCGACTCACCCGAAGATCGGCAAGCGGGGCGCACGGGTACGCGTCGCGCTCCCTCGTCTCTTCCGTGCCCTTCTCATTGTCCGGTGGTTCAAAGGCAAGCACGGAGTTTGGCAGCACTTGGAGCATGGTTGATGGGCCGAGTCCAAGTGCGTGCACGACGCGAACTTGCGACGGCGGCAGCTGCACGACGGCCGTGTCTCCAGCACTGGCCTGCAAGGAACGAAAGGGATTTGGTGAAGAGACGGTGGAAACAAAAGGACACAACAACAAGTGGGGTGAGTGTTGAGTGGGGCGATGAGTATGAGCACCAAAAAGTCAACAGCACTTGAGACGACGACATGACAGGAAGGAAGCGAATTTGCAGAGTGATAGAATGATGGTTGGGAGGAGCAATCGGGGAACATGGCTGGGCTAGCAAACAACGGAGAATGCCATCCTCTTCAACACAACAAAACACACAGCACGCACAACCAACTATACACGAAACAACACAGAACGACTGAAACAAGAACAACACAACCCCTCAACTCCCAAAACGAACAGCTACTGCTACAACAGACTCAGAACAGAACAGAACACAGCCACATACCTGGATAACGACGGTATCATCTTCGCACGGAGTTGTTCCGTCTTGCCAATTGCTCACTGCAACCCACTTCGTCCCTGGTCCGATCCATGCAGCCAAAGACGACGACGATGCTGATGCGACGCCCTGTGCCGCTGCGGCGACAAGCACCGCCAACAACAGCCCTCTCACAACACAGCAACCACCGCGCATGATGTTGGTCTTGCAGTTGGACAAGAACGAAAAGTTGACTGGGACAATTTGTGAAAGTTTTCGTGCAAATTATGCACAATTCCCGTTGCGCGTTGTGTGTTGAAGTGTTCAGCCTCCTCTTTGTTTGTTCTCTCTTTCTTTGTTGCCACAAAGCAAACACACCCGCCCCCTAGCCTCTCCCTTCCCTCCTCCTCTGATCCAACGACAACTGCTTCTCCACCAAGCCAACCAGCCATGCTCTTGGTATCTCGCTTCATGCTGCTCGCTGTGGCGTGCCTCGCTGCTGCCAACAAGAGTCTACTGCTGGCTGTCGCCGCGAATGACGTGCCCTACCCTTATTTCGCCTCGGACTCCTCGGGCCACCTGCACATCAACACGACATCCCCGGAGCAGGATGTGTTTGTGAATGGCGTCAGCTTCAAACAGCTGGTGGAGGACGTGAAGGAGCTCAAGGCCGTTGTTGGCCTCACTGATGGCGCGCAGGACTCGCGCAGGGGCCGCATCACGGACGTGTTTGAGGTGTACGACGACGCCGTGTACATCTCCGCACCAAATGGTGTCTTCTTCAGCTCGTCCAAGGAGCACAAGGTGACGGAGGCTGCGGACGGCTGGAACCCAGTCACAGTCTCTGCCCTCGTTGGCGACTACATGACCTTCAAGTGGAGCTCGCTGGAGGCCGTGTACGAGACCATGAGCGACGGTTCAACAGCAGTGCAGGGCGGGTTCAGCAGCGGCAACGCCAAGATTGGGGGCGAGTTCACCATCCGCCTTCGCGAGGCAAAGACCTACTACTTCCGCGCCGCCAACAAAGGCTTTGTGTGCACGGTTGTTGCCAAGCCCGCCGGTGTCGCCCCTGCAGTGCAACAGCTGCAGGTCGGCCGCGCCAACTACAACTTTGAGATTGTGGGCTTTGGTGAGGACGCCGGCTCGAACTGCGAAAACCTGTATGGTGCCATGTACAACTCCAACGGCGCTTGCAAGTGCCGTGAAGGTGCCGTGAAGCGCATGTACCGCAGTTACGATAGTGATGATATCTACATGTGCGTTGTTGCCCGTTAGAGGCTGAAACGGCAAGCGTGGCCGAAGAGCAGTGCAGTGCAGGTGAGGTGACCGCACGTGTACCCCTGTGCATGGCTGAACCGGGACATTGGTGTCTGTCTCTGTCTCTGTCTCTGTCTGTCTGTCTCTCTCTCTCTCTGTCTCTCTCTCTCTCTGTCTCTCTCTCTGTCTCTCTCTCTCTCTGTCTCTCTCTGTCTCTCTCTGTCTCTCTGTCTCTCTCTCTGTCTCTCTCTGTCTCTCTCTCTCTCTCTCTCTCTCTCTCTCTCTCTCTCTCTCTCTCTCTCTCTCTCTCTCTCTCTCTCTCTCTCTCTCTCTCTCTCTCTCTCTCTCTCTCTCTCTCTCTCTCTCTCTCTCTCTCTCTCTCTGTATGTGTGTCGTGTGATCCACTGTCTTGTGCATGATTCTCTGATGTGGGTTCTACGAGGATGTCAAGTTTTCCTGCTCTGCTCTGCCTTGCATTTTTGTGCTGCCTTGCTTTGGGTAGGCTGCCAGTGCCTTTGCTTTGGTGCCTTTAGCTTTGCTGAGTGTGCTTGCTACCTTGCTACCTTGCTACCTTGACTGACTTGCGTTTTGCGTCTTTCTTGTTCCATCTGTTGCATTCCTCTGTCTACTGTCTTCTCTGTGTTTGGTTCGAGTGGCTTGTCTCGTATGCTTGCTTCTTTGTGCTTTCTTACTTTCGTTGCCTTCACCGTTACCTTCACCTTTCCACCCCTGTCTCTGTCCTCTTCGTGATCTGACCTCACCCCTGCGCTCTGTTCTTGTTCTTGTTGACTGGTGCATGGCAGTGTTCTTTGAGTTTCTGATTCATTCTTGATAGTAAAGAGAGACAGGGGCAATGATGGCAAGAGGGGGAAGAGATGAGGACTTGAGGAGGACACTTGCAAAGCTCTCAAAGCTCTAAGCTCTCTTAGTCTCTGGAGCTGATTGGAGACTTAGAGACTTGCTGCAGCAAGCACTGATGTGATGTGATGTGGTACAACATGACAACCGAGCAAACAAACCCTGCCTGCCCGCCAACCTCGCGGACAGCTGTCTACGACACCATAAAATGGCACGCACACAGCTACGACCTTCAAGGCGACGCGCCGAAATGGGACACACCGGAGGTGGATATGGCTTGGCTTGCCAGGCAACCCCTCCCACGCCCCACGCCCACAAACCTGCAAGAAGCAAGCCACAAACAAACCACAAGCAAGCAAGCAAGCAAGTGGCTTGTGGAGTTGCCGCACTTTCCCACAAGCCAACGAGCAAAGCAACCCCAGCCACAGCATTGACCAACGAGCATGGAGAAGGAGCTGAGCGTGTGCCTGGACGCGCCTGCGGATGGGGTGAAGCTGGATACGGTGAGCGTGAGCGGGTGCATCCGGCTGGTTGTGAAGCGAGGGGACCAGGATGGCAAGCTGCAGCCGGGGGACGAGCTGCTGACCATCAACGAAGCCCCGGCGCCAAACATTCTGCTGGCAAACAGGGCGCTCAAGACCAAAGGCACCTCCCTCGTGATCAAGCGCAACCCAATGGCGGTCGTGGGCAAGCCCGCCACACTGACCACAGTTGTGAAACAGCAAGCAAAGGGGCGCACAAACAGCGCTGGCGCCGCGCACCATGGCACTGCTGCTGCTTCCCGGCCTCCAGCACACCACGGCGCAGAAACCACTGCAGCACCACCGCTGTCGCCGTCGCGCCTGTCGCCAATGGCCCGAAAGACGGCAGACCTCATCAGCAAGGCGAAGAAGGAGCTCGCCTCCAACAAGCTCGTGCGGCGCCGCCGCTCTAGCTTCTCCACGCGCGAAAAGCATATGCGTCTCTTCATCTCCAGCAGTTTCGTAGACATGCACCTCGAGCGTGACCTCCTCATGAAGCACGTACGTGTGTGTTTGTGTGTGTTGTGTGTGTGCATGTGTGTGTGTGTGTGTGTGTGTGTGTGTGTGTGTGTGTGTGTGTGTGTGTGTGTGTGTGTACGGTGTGCCTATCGCCCTTGTCGTTGTGTGTGTATGAGCGCACCCTTTCACCATTTCTGTTTGTGAGCACTGTGCTTGCTTCTTCTCCCCTCACTTCCCTCCTCCTTCAACCTCCCAGAATCACTCACACTTACCAACGCACACACACACACACATGCCCTTCAGGTGTTCCCGAAAGTGCGCAATGCGTGTCTGCAAATGGGTGCGCAGTTCACGGAGATTGACCTCCGCTGGGGCATTGACGAGCAGTCCCAGATGCCACAAGTCATCGCCACCTGCCTCACCGAGGTCACGCGCTGTCGGCCCTTCATCCTCTGCATTCTCGGCCACCGCTACGGCTGGCAGCCCCCAATGGTGTGTGTACGTCTGCGTGTATGTGTGTATGTGTGTATGTGTGTATGTGTGTATGTGTGTGTGTGTCTTTTTGCGCGCGCGCGTGTTTGTGTGCCTGTGTGCCTGTGTACCTGTGTACCCATGTATCTGTGTGTGTCAGTCTCGCTGCCTGTCCCTCTGTCTGCCCGTCTGCCTGTCTGGCTGACTCTGTGTTTGTCTATCCATCCGTCTACCTGCCAGTCCAACTGTGCCAGCATTTTGTTTGGCTGTGCTTTCCGCTCAAAGGCTTCTGTTGTACAGCCACACCTCCGACCCATACGCTCATCCAAAGACACCCAACACACCAAACATACCAAACGCACCAAACACGCACACATGCGCTCTCCCAACAACAACAACAACAACAACAACAACAACAACAACAACAACAACAACAACAACAACAACAACAACAACAACAACAACAACAACAACAACAACAACAACAACAACAACAACAACAACAACAACAACAACAACAACAACAACAACAACAACAACAACACCACCACCACTCCTCCTCGAACCGTGCAGGAAGCGCTGCAAGAGGCGTGCGGGCTGGCACCAGACCTGCAGTGGACGCTGGACGCGCACGGGTGCAGCATCACCCATATGGAGGCCATGGCAGGCATCTTGCGTCTGCCAGAGAGCGAGCGCCGCGGGCTCGTGTACCTGCGTAGCGAGGAATACCTGAAGACATTGGAGAAACCTCTGCAGCAAGAGTACAGCACAACTGATGCGGACGCGCGCAGCAAGATGGCGGAGCTGAGGCAGACGCTGCTCAACACCAGAGGCATCACCGTCCGCACGTACAACAGGCCCGATGACCTGCCCCAGATGGTCATGGAGGACTTGCTTGCACGCTGCCAGGGCGCATTTGCCCACGAGGCCCTCACAGACCCATACCAGCAGGACAATTTCTCCCACAACGCGTTTGGCGCGTCGCGCGCCGCCACCTACATCCCCTTTCCACACCTGCAAGAGCTGATTGGCGACATACAGCAGCGAAGCAGCAACACCCCCGTGCACGTCCTTGGCGAGTCGGGCACGGGCAAGAGCTCCATCATGGCTGCCTTCCTCGACCAAGTGCTTGAGCAACCAAACGCCCTTACCTTCTTCCATTTTATCGGCCACAGCAGCCACAGGTCAGCGCGCGTGCGTGTGTGTGCGCGTGTCGGGGAGAGGAAGAGGGAGAGGGAGAGGGAGAGGAGGAGGAGCTTCTAGTGATACAGCAGAAGTAGCATGTTCAGTGCTCATTTTCTCCGTTGGCATGCACCCATCCTCCAGCCCACACAACTACACAATCACACACACACACCACATGCATTCACACACATACTCACACTCACACACATACTCATACTCACACATACCAACACATTCACTCACACACACATTCACATACTCACACATTCACACACACGCACACATACTCACACTGTCCGCACTGCAGTGCGCACCACGTCAACCTGCTCAAGCGGCTGCTGCACCAGCTGAAGCAGTGGGCGCCAGATACCATCACAGAGCCCGTGCCCAGCACTGCCGCACAGCTCGCCGCCGCACTCCCCTCGTGGCTCTCCACCGCCTCCACCGCACGCAACGACAAGGTTATCGGCACTAGTGTGTGTGTGTATGTGATGGTGTTCATGCCAGACCATGTGTCGGTCGCTTGTGCAACCCCGACCCGCTTGATTCTCTGACAATTCCCTCCCCCAAAACACACACACACACTCACTCACTCACTCACTCACTCACACTAACAAACACACACACACACGCACGCACACACACGCACACACACACACACACACACACACACACACACACACACACTCTCTCTCTCTCTCTCTCTCTCTCTCTCCCACCACACACACACACTCCCACACTCACACACACTCCCACACTCACACTCACACACCCTCCCCCCCCCACCACACACACCACTTCCAGACCATCTTCATCTGTTTGGACGCGCTGAACCAGCTGCAGAACATCGACAACGCACATGAGCTTGCGTGGCTGCCAAAGGTGTTCCCGGCAAACGTGCGCGTTGTCCTCTCCAGCACGCCGTGCCGGAGCGCTGATGTCGTTTCCAAGCGAGGGTGGGACGTGAAACACATGCCGCACATTGGTAAGTATGAACGCATCACCTACGCGCTTCTCTTCCTTAACAAGCGCGGCAAGGAGCTCTCATTCGACCGCCTGCACCAGGTGTGTATTGTGTTTGTGTGTGTGTGTGCGTGCGTGCGTGCGTGCGTGTGTGTGCGTGCGTGCGTGCGTGCGTGCGTGCGTGCGTGTGTGTGCGTGCGTGCGTGCGTGTGTGTGTGTGTGTGCGTTGTGTTGTGTATGTATTTGGCATAGATGCATGCCTTGGTACAATTCATTGCTTCTCGCAAATCTACGTGTGAGCATCTGTACCGCCTTGCCCTTGTCTTCAAATTCCTCATCACAAACAACCAAACACACAACACACACACACACAACACAACCACTGCCCAGATTGTGAGTGCAGAGCACGTGACGTCGCTGCTGCACCTGCGCCTGATTCTGGAGGAGCTGCAAGTGAGCGCATCCTTTGACACGCTTGACACGTTTATCCCGCGCATGCTCGCGCCGCCCACGCTGCCGGCCTTCTTCGGCCTCGTTCTCCAGCGCCTGGAGGACACGTACAACGATGCGCTCAAGAGCACAGTCGCGCCCGCTGTTGCGCGGCGTGGTATTGTGGGCAGCATCATGTGCTATGTTGCGTGTGCCCAGCACGGCATTACCGAGACAGAGCTGATGGCGGTGCTGGGCGTCGCCCGCTCCCAGATCTCCACGCTCATGTTCGCTGTGGAGGAGTTTATGCAGATCAACACCGGGTACGTGCTGTTTGCACACGAGGCGTTTCTCAAAGCGGTGGAGGGCAAGTATCTCAGCACAGATGCCCACCGCACAGCCGTGCACGCTGAGCTTGCTGCCTTCTTTGCCGGCACCATTGGCGACAACGGCTGCGGTGATGCCCTGCCCACTGACGAGGAGAGCAGCGTTGCGCGCGTGTGTGCGGAGCTTCCATGGCACCTCCTCCTCTCCAAGCAGACGGCAGCGCTCTGCGCGTTCCTCACCCGCATCCCCATCTACCGCCGCATGCGCGCCTCTGAGTTTCTCAAACTTGAGCTGGCAAGCTTCTGGCGAGAGGTGGGCCTAGACGAGGCAAGTGCGCGCTACCCTGCTGCACTTGCAGCCTACCTTCGCAAGACAAACCTCGGTGCCGTGGAGGCGGCGGACGTGACCCTGGCCCTGGCCACGGGCCTCCATGAGTGGGGCGAGTACGGCGCAGCGGAGCAACTCTACCAGTCTGCACTCGACACTATCACAGACGGGCGCACAACGCCTTTGCTTGCAGGCCACAACGACAACAACACCAATACCAGCAGCCACCATCACCACCACCACCACGACGACGATGACGACGACGAGCACAGCAACGACGCTGATGTTGATCGGGGCCTGTCCCAAGCGCAGTCGCACGTGCTGGCGGAGGTGTTGGTTGGCTTTGCGCGTCTGCGCACACACCAGAGCCGCGGCAGGGAGGCGCAGGCCCTCCTCCGCCGCGCGCACCCCATGTTCGTGCGCATGTTCGGAGCCGACAGCCGCGAGGCAACACAGGTGCTGGACGACCTGGCATGGAACCAGATCATGGCCAAGCAGCTGCGTGGTGAGCGCGGCGCCGTCTCGCTGCTGAAGCAGTCGCTGCTCGCCAAACTGCGAGCCATGCCCAGCACCATTGCCGCCACCATGCACCTGGACACCCTCGATGGCGGCGCTGATTTGGACGACGACGCATGGACGCATGTCATTGACACGCTCGCCGCCAACCCGAAGCAGACGCCACGCACGGTTCCGCCCGCGCTCAACAGACTTGCCCTCGCATACTCCAACCTGGGCCACATGCGCATCGCGGAGCAGCTGTTTTCCTGCTCGCTCCTCCTCCACCGCAGCCTGTGGGGCGACCAGCACCCGAATGTCGCACTTGTCCTCGGTGACCTGGGCAGCCTGTACGCGCGCCAGATCCCACCCGAGAAGCTGAGTCTTGCTGCGCAGGGGGAGGTGTATCTGTACGACGCAGCAGACCCCGAGCGCAGCGACGCGCAGCCTTTGCGGATGGACGTGGACACGCTGTTCTCCAAGGCGAAGCAGTGCTATGAGGAGGCCATTGCCATCCGCACGCAAACGCTTGGGCGGGAGCACCCGTTCACTGCCACGTCCCTCAAGGGCCTCGGCGACCTGCTGTGCCGTCGTGCGCGCGTGCAGGATGCACTTGTGCTCTATCGCCAATGCCATGAAATTCGCCTGGATGCACTGGGCAAAGACAACAAGCAGACGCAGCTGGTGGCCGCGCGGCTGAGGGAGCTTGGCGAGGCCGTGTGATGGGCTGTGGTGTGGTGTGGTGTGGTGTGGTGTGGTGTGGTGTGGTGTGATGATGTCAAGACGTGCGCGCCACACGCTGTGATGGCGTGTTGGTACCGCTGGGCTCTGTGTGAGTTGAAGGCCCGCGTTACGTCTTGTTTGCGCTGCTCTGTTCTTACACCGGCTCCGTTACAGCTTACTCGCTGCTTGTTCACTCACGTCAGCGAGGTCGCTTCTCTCTGCTTTGCACATGTGCCATGTTGGACCGTTCTCCCCTCCATCTCTTTGCCCCTTTCTCGTTGCATGCACCGTTTGTTACATCTGTGCGGCTTCCACTCGCTGTTACTACATGCAACTCTGCTCCAGCATGAATGCAAAAACTCAGCCAAAGTGCACGGTCGCAATGGACAGGTAATCCCCGTCACAAATCACACAGCCAGGCAATCCAAGTCAGAAGAAACAACAAAAGCATGCAAGCATGCACACAACATACAATCCCCTCTCCCATCCACCCAACACGTAGTATCTACAGTGCAGTCAGGTGCACAATCACACGCATGCGTGAGCACGCAGCTGACATCACAAGCAAAAGTCATGCACATTCGTTTCCCACTTCATACGACACACATACACATACACAAACATGAACACACATACACACATGAACACATACACAGACACACGTGAACACACACATATGGACACACCCATGAACACACACCATGAACACATTCTGCACTGGTTCACCGCTGGCTGGACGACCCCTTGGGCAGAGACGCGGCAAGCGCGTGTCCGGGTTTGGACAACAGCTTCTGCTGTCGCTGTCGCACCATCGTGTTGTGGTGTTCCTGCATCTGAGCAAGATACATGCCACCACCACCACAGCCACTCGCAGCAGATGTCCGGCGCGTGTGTGCACGTGTGGAGCGAGGAGCGCGCGCATCGAGCTGGGTTGCCGAGGTGTTGTGACGGTGCCGACGTGTGCGCTGTAAACCTGTTCCACGGAACGAGACGTCTCGTGATGATGATGCTGACGATGGCGGTGGCGCGTGTGCACTGCCCATGTCTGCGCTCGTGTGCACCAGCTGCCACCGATCACCGCCGTCACGGGCCGAGTCCGTGTCGCTGTTGCTGTTGCTGTTGCTGTTGCTGTCGGTCGTGGCGAGCGTGTGCTCGCCGCCTGGCATCTGCAGTCCCCACAGATCATATGGCCGCACGCCCGGTGCATTTCGGATGCGGCGCGCACGCCTGTACGACATTGCAGGTGGTGATGATGATGATGCAAGCAGCGACCCATCACCAGGCAGACCGCTGCTCAGCGTGGAGTCGAGATCCCAGTGTGAGATGCGTGCGGACGGGCGCGGTTGCAGTGACGCCCGGCCCCGCATGCTGCTTGTGGTCGTGGTGGTGATGGCTGTCGCATTTGTGCTCTGCCGGCGATATGTGCCCGATAATGGTGCAGATGTTGTGGCGCCGCGCACGTCACGACGCCGGTGGAAATCCCGCTGCGTTGCTCGATGATGCAGCTCTTGCACAGCGCTGCAGGCGTGTGTATTGTGTGTGTGTGTGTGTGTGTGTGTGTGTGTGTGTGTGTGTGCATGTGCGTGTGTGCATGTGTGTGTGTGCGTGTGTGCGTGCGTGCGTGTGTGTGAGGGATCATCAACGCTGTCAGGCACACAAGACAAAAGCAGCGAATTCGCACGCAACATCACCCACTTGGGCACAAATGCTCATTCCATGTCGCTGACACAAAAGCGCTGCGACTCTCACACCTTTGATAAGACGCCATCGCAGCCGACAATGGACGGGTCAACTCTGAACGGCGCCGCGTGGTCGTGGTCGTCGTCGTTGCCTGCACACAAACACACAAGCGCGCATGCACACAGTTCCGCACATGCACACGAATGTAAGCGTAAGCGTTGGCAGTGAAGATGAAGTAAATAAGTACAGGTGTCACTGTGAAGCAAATACTGCACAAGAGTGTGTGCGCGTCCATGCGCGAGTGCGACCGACTCACCCAGGCTGACGTTCCGTTGCTTCGCGTCCGGGATGAGGGCGGGTTTGCAATCGTCGCTGGGGGAGCAGAGCGCCGACTACACATACGTCAACGTTTGTGTGTGTGTGTGTGTGTGTGTGTGTGTGTGTGTGAACGTGTGAGAACATGTGCGTGTGCGTGTGCGTGTGCGTGTGAATGTGTGAGAACATGTGTTCATAATGTGTGCTTGTGTGTTTGCGATGATGGCTTGCGCATGCCGCAAGTCTGCAAATATCCATTCTCCAACAACCATGTCAAGAAGCCACTGCTGCGACAAGCCCAACAACAATCTCTAAGTGCACGTGTACAACCGCCACCCACCGGCTGCTAGCTGGCTGCGTTGTCTTGCTGATCCGCCGCTGCTTGAACTTGTCGCGAACGCCATCAACCACGACCTCCTCCCCACTCATGGCCACCGTCGCCGCCGCTGGTGTGGATGTGCGGCCTGGGCCCCCGTTACGCGAACCACCATCGCCATTCCGGCGATTGGCAGAGCGAGGGCGCATCGTGGACGGCTTGCCACGAACACGCTGCTGCTGCCGCCGCTGCCGCTGCTGTTGTTGTCGTTGGCGGTGTTCGGGCGAGCGCATGTGTTCATCGGAGTCGCTCGAATCAAAGCCATCACTGCCGCCACCTCGACGACGTGGCCTGCCCAGCGCCGTCACATGTGCACCCGCGTCGTCCACCCCATCCTTGGACCACAGCGTACGGGAGAGCGCTGCTCGCTCGCTTCCGCCGCCATTGCGCGTGCGTGGATGTGACGATGATGGCGATGTTGATGATGATGCCATCTGCCGCAACGGTCGCGTCTCTCCCCGCTGCGCTCGACCCAGCCGCTGCACGCGCTCCTGCTGCTCACGCGTGTGTGCGCGGTGTCGTCGCCACGCCCGCTGGATGGTTATCGCCGCCACAACCGCCGCCCGAATCCGCGACACGCGGGCTGTTTCCCGACGCTGCAGCGATCGCCGCGTCATGCTCCTGCCATTTGCCACGGGAGGATGGTGAGGGTGAAGGGAAGAAATGAACGCAAAGGACGGGGAGGGGCGTGGCATGAGTTTGAAGTCACGGGGCTGACGGCAAGCGCGTTTGCCCATGCACTCATTCCTTCGCTCGTGGCATACACACATACATGCACACATGTACACACATACATGCACACATGTACACACACATGTACACACACATGTACACATGTACAAGCACGTGTACACACGTGTACATACATGTACACAGAGTCACACCAAAACGTCTGCAGCCACGCGAGCGCCTACTGACCTGTGCAGGATGAGAGCACGTGCGCGTGCATCGAGACCAAGCGTTGCTGTTTCCTCCAGTGGCAGCGCATCGCCCGCGTCAACAGCACTCGGTCGCGTTCTTGTTACTGCTGCTGCCGCTGCTGCTGTCGGTGACGTTGTCTTGTCCCGTTGTGGTGCTTTCGCTTGAGCTCGGTCGTGCTGTTCTGCAGCGAGGGCAGCAGCTGTTCTTCTTTCTTCCTCCTCTTTCTTGTTCTTCTGCCTCGCCTTCGCTTCTTCTTGCCGCCGCTTTGCTTCTTCTTCCTCCTGTTTCTTCCTCTCCTCTTCTTCCTCTCTCTTCTTCCTTTCCTCTTCTTTCTTCTTCCTATCTTCCTCTACCTCTGCTTGTTTCCTTCGTTCCTCCTCTTCCTCTGCTTGTTTCTTCCTTTCCTTTTCCTCGTCCTCTGCTTGTTTCTTCTTCCTATCTTCCTCCTCCTCTGCTTGTTTCTTCCTTTCCTCTTCCTCTTCCTCCTCTCGTTTGGCTCTTTCTTCCTCAAGCCGGTTGCTTTCCTTCTGCTGTTCTGCCTCCTTCTTCATCGCTTCATCTTCTTCCTCCTTCTTTCTCATCTCTTCCTCTTCCTTCTTCATCCGCGCTTGTTCCTCTTCCAGCTTCTTTCTCGCTTCTTCCTCTGCTTGAATCTTCCTCTCCTCTTCCTCTCTCTTCTTCCTTTCCTGTTCTTCCGCCTCCTTGTTTCTCTTCTCTTGTTTCTTCCTTTCCTCTTCCTCCTCCTCTTCCTCCCTCTTCTTCCTCTCCTCCTCTTCCTTTCTCATCTCCTCCTCCTCTTCCTCCCTCTTCTTCCTCTCCTCCTCTTCCTTTCTCATCTCCTCTTTCTTCTCTCGTTGCCGCTGCTCCAATTCCGCCCGCGCTGCCGAAATCGCCGCAGTCGACTGTTGCAACACGACAAACACGCACACAAACACGCACACAAACACGCACACATGTGGTGAGTAATGATCGCACGGTGGCAACGCGCGCACCATGTCCATCTGCCCATACACATACACAAGCACATACACATACGTATACAAATACCAACACCCCATACACAGTCCCATACATACACACAGTCACATACACAAACACAAACAGAAATGTGCGCACCTTCTTCCACGCTCGAAAGCTGCGCTGGATCTTCAAGACGGCAATCTGGCCACGGTGAACGCACGTGAGGGCAGCGTTAGTACGTGGAACAGCACATGCGTATTCATGGCACATTGCACCTCTCAACCCGCTCTATCGACACACGTATGCAAATGCACTCAAATGCACACAGGTACACACACACACACACACACACACACACACACACAAACGAAAACACACACACACACACACACACACGCACACACACACACACACACACACACACACACACAAACGAAAACACAGACACAGCTTGCTCGCGCAACCAACCCCAACCCCCCCCCCCCCCAAAAAAAAACCCAAAAAAAAACCACCAACACATTGGCCTGCGCACCATTGCCATTTCTGCGCGTGTGTAACCGCCGGCGTCTCTGAGCATCTCCACCACACGTTCGTGTTCCCGCTCGTGCGCGTAGTCCAGAGGCGTGAACCGCTTGTCAGAGTGCTCCATGTAGTTTGGCCATGCGTTGTGCTGTAGCATTGCCGCCACCACGTCAGCGTGTCCCTCCAACGCGGCCCAATGGAGGGGTGACACGCCGTCAGCGTCAACGACGTTTGCATCTGCGCCAGCAGACAACAGTGCATTCACGCTCGCAAGACACCCGCCGAAGCACGCAAAGTGGAGCGGCTGGACACGTGTCGCGGCGAGTGTGTGTGTGTGTGTGTGTGTGTGTGTGTGTGTGTGTGTGTGTGTGTGTGTGTGTGTTGTTGT